CTCTCTGAAGTCAACCCTTCAAAGGTCTTCAGCAGACTTCCACACAGGTTGGGCAGAGTGCAGTCAGAATTTGTGACGTGTCTAAAATGCACAGAGGGCTCCATCAAAGAGACTGCCAGGGCCTCTGGCATGGGCCTACAGAAGGTCAACAACATTCATGGTTGACTTAAAACCCAGTGTCACATCTTGTTGTTGGTCTTGACAACTATTATCTGTGAACCTTTGCACTTGTAGAGTCAGCCAGTTAAATATAGCAGTGGCCACATGCATGCCAGTTCTGTCACATATTTAATATTTCTATCATCGTACATCAGAGAGGGAAGAAATGTTAAGCAGCAATATAAAATGGCAGACAGAATGACACATGGAGGAGTGAGTGCAGTATGTTTGACTGAGGAGTAAAAGCCCTTGTAGATTAAACATTTTTGGAAAATTCGTGCTGGATAATTTGAAAATCTGAAGTAAAGGAAGAGCGGTGCAGCCAGAAAGTAAATCTACTCAGTGAGTGAGCTGCTTCACACTGAGCAGAAAGAAGGTGGAAATGTGAAAATGATCCATACAGACTTTAGGCTAAAAGAACAGAAAATTGCACTCAGCTGAGCACTAATCTCATCTGAGAATGATTGGATTAGTTTTGCAGGTATGAATATGAGTATTGCACACATAATGTCGATTGATGAAAAAAGAAGGGATTGCCAAACAAAAATTGCAATTTATCCTGAGGGGGACATGAATATGAAAAGCCATCCAAAAGATGTCGAGACATTTCAATCAAATCCATAAAGCGAACCTCCTGGTGGTGCCAGAGGAAAGGTCAGAGGATCATCAAAAAGTCAGGATGCATTTGTGCCAATCCATCTAGATGTGGAAATAATTCACGATAAGTGACCTGTTGTTGGCGCTACAGGAAAAGTCAGGGTAGTACCAAATTCACTAGGATTCATTCTTTTTGCAGTATGTATTTCTGTACCAAATTCCATGGCAATCCATCCCATATTTGCCATCGAGCAGTCTGAGGACTGGTTTCTGGGTAAATGACATCGAAAGGATGTCACAACATGCATATGCCATATTTGTGTTGAAGCTATAATGAGTGAATCCACTGATACAATCCACAGCTTTAGTTACTTTGACTTGAACACAGCCTGAAAAATGGCAATAATTTAATTTCCTATACCGTTTTGAAAATACTAAAACACAAAGCAGTGTCCAGGTAACAGGGGACATTTCTGCAGGCATGAGTCAGGAAATCTGAGAAGAGAATCTTCTGCAGGACAGTCCAAAAGGGACCGGACCAGACCAGACTCCCTGCAGCATGACATCATCCATCTGGTTCGAGACGCTGTCGGGTGTTCATGTACAAAAGCTTGCAGTGACCTTGTCGTGTCTGAAAGGTGAAGAGGAGAACACAGTGGCCTTCCGTATTTACCCGAAAGGGAACATAAAACAAACCTTGCACCAACTGTATTTGAGATCCCCTGAGCCGCAGCTTTTCTGGTGTCGGACTGGCCTTTCAGCTGTCTGAGTAACAGCATATAGCAGCTGTTTGCTCTCACAGGGTTGGAGTACCACACAACTCTTTCACAGCAGCACTTACACCAGAATTACAGCCTGTTGAATTACATGGCGAGCCAGTGTTTCTGAGAGATTTATGTGTGAAGCAACCTAACCCTAAAACTTGTCATGGGTGGAACTAAATGCTTTTGTCTGAGACGTATGAAGAAGATGCATGCTTTAATCAATGATGAACTCAAAGAGAATCACTAAACTCTGCCATTCCTCTCGACTTTACAGAGCTTTTTGGCATCTTTTTGCTCGTTGTTTTGTTTTTCCAGTATACTGCTGTGGTTCACTCACAGCTCTTTTTGATGCTGTCCAGCTGCCGCAGGGAGCCGGTATTAATCAAAAAAGCTGTGACCCAACTGTACGCTACCTGCTTAGCACCAAGCAGACAGGCTAGCAACTAGCTGGTGAACAGAGTGGAGCATTTATCAGTGAAAGAGACAGATAGTTCTCACAAGAGCTGGTTGAGACCAAAACAAAGCTAAAAGGAGAGTGAATATTCATAAGGTAGCCGGAAACACAATTTCAAATGAATGCTGCATGTAACTCTGCTGGAGGTGCATAGATAGGCAACAAGTTAAACTTAGGATCAATGTTATGTTTTAAGGTTATTGCCTTGCCCCCAAGTGGAAAAAATATTAAATTAATGCAGGTTTAAAATGATTTCCCCTGAAAAGATTCTCTGAAAGGTATGCGTCCATTTTGCAACAGATATAATCAAATGTTCTTACTAGTCATTGAAGGAGAACAAAGCATCGTTCTTAGCAGTGTGAGCAGGCAGCTGGACAGTAAAACAGTGTTGTCAATGGGCAGCCTTTTCTCCTGAGTGTTGGAATAATCTCAGAGCTCAGTGGGAGAAGTTTGTTTTAATAATTCACAGTAACATTTTCCACTTTGCACAGAAAAGGCCTCAGCCGTTTGATCAACCTGACAAGATGTCTCAAGGAGTTTCACCCCCTTCCTCATATTTGCTTGAGATATTCTTTCTCAAAGAGGCTCCTGTCAGTGTTTGCATTTAGCATGTTCACATCGGGGATTTCTGCAGTCAGCAATAGAGGCCAATTGTGAATGTTCTGTATTATATGCATGCATGTTTTATAGTGTATAAAAGATTTAATCTAACCACAGAAATACTTTAATTCAATTATGTTGGTGAGATGTCTGCACTGTAATATGAAACCATATGTTTAGATGCATTTATTTGTGTCCTGCCAGAGTTTGTAGTCTTGCATCAGTGCTTAAAGAACAATCTGTCAAACACCAGACGTGCCTGGAAAATGTCCTTTCTGTGAGGCTTGTTTGCCAAGTCGGAGTGCATCAAAGACAAACTTTGTCCTGCATTCAGATGGGAAAAGATGTATCTTCCTCCAGTGCGATCGTAATGACTCAGCTAGTTTGCCATCATCTGCATCAGGCAGTCAATGAATTAGAATGTTGCACACAATCAGTGAACATTTATCCAAGTTGTTTATTTTTGATCATTTACTTAATCCGTTTATTCAAGTACTCAAATTCAAGATATCTTTTTCAAGAAAGACGTGTGCACAAGATAAGACGTAAGCACTACAACACATCATAAACATACACAAAAGACCACATTAAAGCAAAAAGTTACAAGAGGCATTCAAATGCTTGAGTACAATGTTTGATTTGTTCAGTTTGAACATGCAGTATAGCTCAGATCAGAGGTTGGGTACTTGTTACAGTAGAGCTTTATAGATAAATAATGTAGAAAGTAAGATACCAATGATGAGTAAACGATGTATTCCCTGTGATAAAGCACAGTGAGACATGAATTATTGAGGTATTTTTTTAATTCAATTTTGACTTTTCGTTTTCTTGTCCATGGGTCTTAAAAGCGAGTCTGTCATCCACTCAGATCCACAAATATTTACAACATTTGAATTATTTCTATCTGGTTACATTGTGTCTGTGACTGCAGTTTCACTGCATTGTGGTGGTCTCTTGTTGAGGACAGCTTGTGCCATAAAGCCTGACACCGTGACCCCCTGACTTACATCCACATGCCACACTACAAAGCTCCGTCTGAGCAAACACGAGCCAGAGCAAGAAAGGAGTGTCTGGCTGAAACTATCTCTCATTCAATACTAAAATGTCTCTCATATGTTCAAATATTTCAAACAATGATCTTGAAAGATACTAGATTCTAATTTATGTCAACGGTCCTTTTTTGCAGCCAATAAATAACGTCTTTGACTTGATTTGACTTGATTTCATTTCTGTTGGGAGTTTGGAAATCTGTTTGTGTTCTTATCGATTAAACAATTCTACACATCTTGGAATAATTATATCGAACGAAGGCTGATTGTTAATTTTGACTTACCCTGACTATGTCCCAACATTCGTGCTGCCTAACAGTTGCTGTGGAAGAAAATAAATTACCACCAAAATAACGACAAATAGGACACAGCCTACAGGACTTTATATGTGTTTCTGCCTAATGACCCCATTGAAAAGTGAGATGGTGTATCTCAAGTTTAATTTTATCCTCAAGTTAAAAATGTACATAAATGAATGTACAAATACAAGTACAAAACTTGTACTTAATTACAGCATTTGAGTACTCAGTTACATTCAACTGGTTTATTCACTTCCTTCTGATTGGACATATTTTCAGTCTCATTTTGGCTGTTTTAAGAAAAGATTGTGTCTCTGGGTTTTTGCGGGTGCATTATTTACAGATCTGACAACATATAATAAGAATTTAACGTTGGGGGAAAGTAAGTAAGAAGAAGTAAGTAAGTAAGTAAGTACATTAACTCAAGTACTGTACTTAAGTACACATTTGAGGTACTTGTACTTTACTTGAATATTTCCATTTCATGCTGCTTTATACTACGTTATACAAATATTGTACGTTTTACTCCTCTACCTTTATTTTAAAGCTTAATTTCCTTTGTATATTTATTTAATTGATACACAATATAAATACTAATATACAAGAACTATTATATTATTATGTTTCATTACAGGTTAAGCTATGCCCAACTGTATATAAAATAATTAAATTCAAGCCCACCCTCACCAGCTGCAACATTTAACATGATGTACACATTAATGCATCAATAATCACCACACATATAACTTAATATACATACAACTGAAATGGACCATTCTGCATAATGAGTACTTTTACTTTAAATATATTTTGATGACAATACTTGAGTAAAATATCCTACTTCTCCACCGCTGTTTACACTTGTGTTTACATATCTATAATAAAAGTATAATAAACATGTAGTCACAAAGCAACTACTGTGATATGGTAATACGCTCGTACACTATTATAGACAATAGGTCGCGGTATGCACCTGAATTCAGCGACTTGCTCTCCACATTTAAAAACAGAGCGAAGAAGAACACCCAGCGAAAAGCCTCATTGGTTGAGCCGCAGTGACGTCAGAGTCACTCGGCTGGTCAGCGCTGTCAACATGGCGGCGGTAGATGTCATTGTGGACAACTTGGTGACTCTCTGGAGGATACCAGCCGTCCGACAGAACTTCCACTGGATGTTTTTGCTGATTTCGGCGGTGGGATCGATCCTGAAAGAGCTGGAGCTCGTCCCGCAGACATATTTCAGCAGCAGCAGAAATGCGCTGAATGTGTGAGTAGTGCTAATAGGGGGTTGTTTTGCTAGCTGAGGGTTGACTTTAGCTAACAGAAATAATGAGTTTAAACTCTTGTGCTCACTGTGGTTAAACTCTTTGTGGTGACCTGCTGGTAACAGTGAGGTGAAATGACCATCTTCTGATTTTCCCGGACTGTGTTGAATTAAAGTTAAGCTCCGCCCACGTTATTTGGGTCAAAGGTAGAATGTGGCTTCTGCTGATCGCTTGTGTAGGCTAATGTTAGCAAACTAACGGTAAATGATAACCTCTAGTGTTCCTGCAATATGTTTCAATGTCTTTCTCAGTGAAACCTCGGGCGTTATCCTCTTATTAAAATGTTGTATGCTAGAATTCATTAGATCCATAAATAAATGTCAATATTTTAAAGCTCACCTCTTTAGCTTTAGTAGGAATTATTAGAGACAACTGATAACATTTGCTGATTCCAGCTTCTCAGACGTGAGGATTTGATGCTTTCCTTCATCATGCATGATAGTAAACTGAATATATATTTATATATATTGGGGTTTTTGACTGTTGGTCAGACAAAACAAGACATCTGAAGGCGTCAACTTCGGCAGTGGAAACATATTCCAGACATTTTTCACCTTTTTATGACATTTTATAGCCAAAACGAAAAACTGAACTCATTTTCTTCCAGTGTGAAATATTGCAGGAACACTTGTTATCTCCTCATTCTAAGGTGTGTTAAATATGGGAGTATTCATGAAGTAATAAAATGATTTTCATGGATGGAATTACTTAAGATGGATAAATCTATGTATTAACACCCAAAGGGGAAACTAGTTTGGTCGCCCATGCACAGTGGCAAATGAGAGTATAATAAGAGTGCTGATAAATGTAGTCATGCTAATTATTACATGAATGCCCCTTTCCTTTTGCAGGTATTTTGTCAAAGTATCCTGGGGGTGGACGTTGCTGCTGCTGACCCCGTTCCTCCTCCTCTCCAACTCGTCCTTCAGCAGGAGCGCGTCCTTCCTCGGCCGGCGGCTGATGTCTCTGGCGGTGGCGACGACCATCTGGTACGTCTGCACCGAGACCTTCTTCTACATCGAGGATGCGACGGGCTCATGTTTTGAAACTGACGGCGTGGACGTTATCAACAAGGAGTTCACATCCAAAGCCAGCTGCAGGCGGGCCGGCTTCCAGTGGCACGGCTATGACATCTCGGGACACTCCTTCATCCTGGCCTACTCGGCTCTCTTCATCATGGAGGAAACGGCACCCATGGCCTTCCTGAAGACGGCCAGTCTCTCTGCACTGCCCAGGATGGTCCTAAACCTGCTGTACGTAGCCTTGAATCTGATAGTGATCGTTTGGGTGTGGATGTTTGCCTGCACCTCTGTTTACTTCCACGACCCGTCTCACAAGTTGCTAGGGACCATATGCGGCGTGTTGGGGTGGTATCTGACATATCGGGTTTGGTATCTCAAACCTTTGTCACCAGGACTCCCTCCTCAGCGCCACCCAAAAGGACTGAAACAACACACCTGAGCTGCAGTCATACGTTCCTGTTGTTGCAGCCATCCTCAAAACAACGCACTACATTTCACGTTATCTGTCGTCAGGTCCAAGCTGGCTGTTCTATTTTAAGCTATTCCCTCCTCACAGAAAGGTCGTTTAGTACAGGATGGTGTTTGGCAGCTGCTGTTCCCAAAATGACTCTTGGTAATCTGAGATAAAAAGCAAGACGCTGCTCTGCTGCCCAGCTTTCAGCCGCTCACCTTCAGCCTCTGAGGCTTGCATGCTGCACCATTGTTTCTACCCCAGTTTGTTGCCTTATAATGTTTGACTTTTGGATGACTGATCACATCTTTTAGATGACTGAGTGGGAATATTTGAGAATGTTTACAGCTCCAGCTGCATAGCACTGATGTGTATTTTTTACCAATGTAAAGAAGCTACACTTTCTTTTCTTTTTTTAATAGGAAACTACCTACAGTACAAAGTCGGATCAGACACTAACTACAGTGGGCCTAAATTATTAACTGATTGATGAGACGAGCTGTCGCATATGGTTTGGAGTTACTGTGACTGTGTGCCAACACTCTATGTAAAGTTTACTCAGAGGATGGAGAGCTTGAATAGCGGGTTTAAAGTTAATTTTAGTTGATCATCATACAGACTTTAGTTGTAAGCCAGCTCTGCACGTGGCAATTATTTAAAAAATGCGCTCCGGTTTAGGCTGGAAATATCAACAATTGTTGTCATTATTAATTAATCTGCCCAATATTTAAATGGTCAAAAATGTCCATTACAATTTGTATTCAAATGTGATGAATGCAACAAATCCTCACAATTGAAAAGCTGGAATCGGAGTGTTTGTTTTTGTGCTTAGAAAAATAACTTAACGGATAATTTGATTATCAAAAGTGTAGTTTAGTTTTCTGTTATTGGACTAATCGATTAATCAACTAATAGTTTCAGTTGTAACTTGATTTGTTGTCAACACCATAAAGAGACCAAAACTGAATTGATCAAACGCCTGATGTATACTGTTCCTCTGTACCATGGAGCGCCAAACTATTAAAAACACATCAATGATTGATATGGGCACTGACCTTTATTTTCACTCCCTTACACAGCGTCCCGCTCCAATACGTACTCCCTGGATAATCTGTTTTATTCTGCATCTGAAAAGCGTCCCCAACAAATGCTCTATAATCTATAATGAGCTGCCAGGAAGTTACTTTTATTAATAATCTGAAAGTTTAAGTAGAATCCAATGGGCTTGAGTCTGAGTGCCACAGACTGAGCAGGAAAGTTATAAAGTATTAAAATAAGTTTAAAAAATGTGTTGGTTTTGGTACCAGCCTTATCTATGGGTACATGTAGATCATAGTGGTATTTTTTATGAATATAGATTTCTAGCATTGATGTGTGCAGTTTCTTGATGTGTCAAATACACAGTTACAAGCTCTATAGAGCAGGAACATATAGGTTAAAATAAAAACCAGGATCTGTTTCTTCCATTTTCATTATTTATTTGTCATTGATGGCAACTGAATAAATTAAGGCTTATGAACAAACATCATAAAAAGCACCATAAATAAATGCATATATATATAGAAATATAAAAAAAATGAAAAGTAAAAAATAAAAAAATACTATAGTGAAACATAATGGCCACAAATCACAACTAGTATTTCTTGACTTGAACTCTTTGTGTGTGTGTTCAAAGAAGTACAGATCCGACCCCTCGGGTGGCGTGATTTCAGTCTGAAGAAGCAGTGGAGTCTGAACCGCTGTGCTTGTAATCGAGAAGCATTCACAATGATTGGCTGATTGTGAAGACTCTTGACATTTCCCCCTGCAGTGTCATCTGCTGTTTCGTCAATTAACAAAAGAAGTGTGTCTGAGAATCAAAAAGTAAACATAAATGACAATTAAGCAAATTTTATAATTAAATGGCAACAGGAAATAGTACTTTACACTTTGTGTCCTCTTCCTTACTTCCAAACTGGGAAAAATTCATACATACTGTATATATTTTTTTAAATCTTCTCTTTTGTGCCATTTACATCACTGCTGGTGATGCAAAAACAGTTTGAAACCAAACACCCTCCATGTTTCCTTTAATGCACATCTCAAACGTCTTCTTTTCAAACGGCTGTACAGCACTATCCATATCAAACATGAAACTGAACACAGCGAACTACAGCTTCTACACCTCTGCTTTCTGCACAAGAATCAGATTTATTATCGGCTGTGACACAGCAAGTGGATGCTGCTTTTGAAAGGAGCATTGGGCGTCGTCTTTGATTCAACGTTTTCTGCCCCAGCAGCTAATCACCACCTGCAGAGACGAGTTTCTGTAGCCGGAGAAAACAGTGAGCCTCCTAACTGGGGGGAAAATAAATGACCTTTCATTATCAAAGGCTTGAGCTGTACAGAAACACTGTACTGACTCCTTACTGCAAGAAATGTCTGTATAGCCAGCCATAAAACCAAAAGCAGCTTAGAGCTCCAGCCAGTACCTCGCATAATGAGTCAAACCTAAAGAGCACACTGTTCAGGAGCAGAATTAGAACATGTTAAACCCTGGAATTCTGACGAAGAAAGGCTCCCATTAGGGGTGAACAGAGTGTGGAGCGGGAAATGTACACTGCATCGACAAACAGCAAGACAGCTCGCAAGGCTAGCCAAGGGGGGGGTGGGGTTCTTGTTTCTCATCATACTCCTTTAAAGCCTTCAGATGAGTCAGCTTTTCCTCCCCTGTTCCCCTTATTCAACCTTTAATCTCATTAAAAGTTCAGCCCAGTAAAATTAATGAAACAAATGTATAATTAAAAATATCTATCTGTAAAAACAATCTTGCATCTGTCAGGAGGAGTCGGCGACAAACAAACAGCAGTTAAATCCAGTTTTTCTTTGCTCCGTATTGCTGGAGGACCATTGTTGAACACACGGTACAGTGCAGGTGCTTCAAAGGTTACAGTTAGCAAGAGAATATTTAGGAACTCTGTGGTTTTAATGTTCGGTAGTGATCATAAATTCTGCCTCTGGGCAGCGTCCGTCCATCACGAAACGCGTACACAATGAGAAAGTACCCATGCAATGAGATATACATCCTAAACCTAATGCAACACTATTTGTGCACATAGATGCAGAATTTACAATTTTACTACCAGTTCAGCCAAAGTGTAACTTTTCAAACACCCAAGTTTTGTATCGTCTGAACTCCTGCTCCTGCTCCGTGGTGCTCTAAATAAACTGACTTAGTGTGTGTCTCTTGTGTTTTGCTGTGTGAAGGGTGTACAGTTAGTTCAAAGGAGTAGTTCCACATTGTGGGAAATGCAGTTATTCACATTCTTGCCGAGAGAAGATCGACAGCTCCAAGGCCCGTCCGTAAAATTGTATGCAGCAGCTTGATAATTTAGCTTACACATATAACCCCAATGTGTGCCCGTCATGTACAGTGCATTCAGAAAGTATTCAGGCTCCTTCACTTTTTACATGGTATGTTGCAATTGTTTCTGCTCTGATGTGCATTCTCAGCTGTGAGTCATTGAATAGACAGGTTTGTGCCTTTCCCAATTATGTCCAATCAGTCGAAATTGACCTCAGGTGGAATCCAATTTTACAAGGTGTAAAAGCTTCTGAAAGATGATAAACGGGAGACACCTGAGCTAAATGCCAAGTATCATCGCAAAGGGTCTGAATGCTTTTTAATGCTTTTTAATGCTTTTGCAAAACAAACTCATGAATCTGTTTTTCTCCTGGTCATATTTGGCTATTGAGTGTAGATAGATTTGAGCAAAAGGCTTCAACATAATGTGAAAAGGTGACGGGGTCTGAATACTTTCTGAACGTATACAAGTAATCTTTGATAAACCCAGAAGGTCATTTAATAAAATTGTTCCAATGAAATTTCCTGAATCGTCAAATACACTTCTGCCCATCTGGATAAAAGAAAGTTTTCTGCACAAAAAAATAAGTGTTTCTTTTCAATATTTTACATTTTCAAATGAAATAATGTATATGTTTGACTAACCGAGCGTAATTTCTGGCTACTTAGATAAAAAATAAAAAAAAGAATACAGTCACAACTTGGGAGACAGGTTAAAAGAGTCTTTAAGCATTGTTTCCAGTAATAATGCTAAGCTAAGCTAACCAGCTGATAGGTCCAGCTTCAAAATTAGTGTTCACACACACAATACCTTCAGAACAGGAGTCCATCCTTCTGGGTTTTTCAAAGATTGCTGGGTTTATATTTTTTTCCGAAAGCTAGCTTTGCAGGCTTTATGCTAAGCTAGGCTAACCATCTCCTGGCTGTACAGCTTCATATTTAACGGACAGACTTGAGAGTGGATCCACATCTCTGTGAGAAAGTTAAAAACAAATTTCCCCAAATGTCAACCTATAGCTTTAAGTTTGCCTCCATCCTTTCATCATTCTGGCAGTTTCTGGCAGCAGCACTTAACAGAAAGTCTGTGTCCTGTAACATCTTCCTGCGGTTTTTAGTGGGTGAACCTCAGGCTGATGAAGGAGTGAACAGCAGGTATGAGTAATGACTGTAATAGTGGCATGCGAAGGTCAGTTAACCCCTGTTGGTGTTACTGTGTTTAACATTTCGTCTGGGTTTCTCCTTTAAGTTTTCAGTATAAGAAGACCCGATGCGTGCCTGCAACAAAAGTTAAGCAAGGACTTGTCGGCCGCAAGTTGCCAGAAATTAAACTCGATGAAGGCCTTGATTACCAGAAAATGTGCTGTCAACAATTTCTTATTATGGAATGTTTTAATATTCTTTGTTCACCCAGGTAAGTAATAGTGTTCTCTATATAGATTCATTATGTTTTCCTGCAGTCATAAAACATTACAGAAAAGTTGAAACATCACACAAATACACAGACATTTAACACAACAAGAGGGCATTCACTACATGTATTTCTTTTTTAAATACCAGTAGGCAAAGTAGCCCATTCCTCCCAGCGAGCCCATGAGAAAAGAGGCCCCGAAGAAGGACGGCGGCTTCTTTTTTACCATCCGGAAGGCATTGGGTAGGACTGCAGACAGAAGGGTTGTGTGGATGTCGCCCAAGACCTTGCGGAAAGCGTAGCGTTTTTGCACACGCACAAAAAAGGACTGCAGGTTGGCTCGGCTGCCGTCCTCCCAGTATTTCTTAGAAAGTCCCAAGAACTTGAGCCTGTGCAACAAAGCTCCGAGGCAGACGTCAGCTAGTGTAAATTCAGGTCCACATAGCCACAACTCACACTTTTGACCTGCCAGGAAATGAAAAATTCATAACTAAACGTTGTTGGAACATGTTTTGGTGCCATTATGATGGAAGATAACTATGACATACCTTGATACTCTAGTTTTCTTTTCTCCAGCTCAGCCTCCACTTGATCTAGAACCATAGCTAACTCCCCCAGAATTTTCTTCAGGTAGTTCACATTATCGTGGTCCAAGATTTTTGCCTGACAATCGTTTACAAAAAGAATTAAAAAAATATATCTATAGTGTATAAACTTAGATCGAGCACGCATAGCTAGGAAGTCCATCATCATAAAGTAGGATTATTGGGATAAATATGGATTGCGTTTTTCTCCAAGTACTTTAAGATGAGTGACAGCTGATTTGAAGTTCTCACTAATAAAATGTTAAACACAAGATATGCATGCCCCCCAGTACTTGCATGTAAAGGGATGAAGTCCCCATGTTTGAAAATACCCACAGCCACAAAACCAGTCGCATGAAGCTGTACTTGTTGTTGTGTTCGACCCAATCAACATATTCGACCGACATCCAGTCAAATTGCAGAGTTCATCCATGTCTGTCCAATATGTCACCCCTTCATTAGTTTATCTTATTAGAGATTTGCGTGAAATTGTCAAAATTAGCAAATTCATTCTTGAGTTATGGACAAAAGCGTGTTTCTAATCAGGTTATTCTTAAGTCAAAGTTGACATCTGTTACAGGATTTTTCCTTTTTTCAGCTCTTCAGTCGTGTATTAAGAGGAAACTGCTGAAGGCTGTTCATTATGAAACTTCCCTCAGCTACAGACGTGTGAATTAAATTATCTGTTAGTGTGTTAAACCTTAATAAAGACAAGTGTGACTTATGGTGAGCTTGTCTTTCACAAAATATTAAGGCAGTAAATAAGCCAGTAGAGCTGTAAAACTATTATATCCATTATAGTTATGCTACTGTTCATGGGTCTGAAGTATTTTCAGGATCAGATTGATTATATTTAATTAGATTTTTAAGCCCTGGATTTGGCTGAATCAATTAACTTAAAGTTTTGTTTTTTCTTTTGAAAATAGTATTACAATTATATTTTAATTTGTAACTTAGAAAGAACTGATGATATTTTTTCAGGGGTTCGTCTGTGAAGGGGTTTTAAGAGGATAACCTCCTTAAAATTCCACCAATTTTCAACTGATTTGAAATACAAACACCCTCACAGTACAAAGTAAGGGATGGTTTTCATATTATTATTAATTTTGAGGATTTTTTACCCCTTAAACTGAAACTAATCCATTAAATAATACCTTAATTATTACAAACCATTATTTAGTTAATTATTTTCCCTTCAATCACATTAAAACAACTTGTTTCCATCATCAGTAATGTGCACATTACTGATGAGATTCAGGGGTGGTGCCTCCCTTATACGCAACATTATAATATAATATTACTATAGTAATAAATTAATGCATTTTAAATCACATTAATGAACACATAAACTCACCATGAGCTTCTTCTGCTTGGACAGATACGGTTCTGTGAGCTCTGGCTCCTCATGGTCCAACTTCATCAGCTCTGTTGCAGCATTAGCCAGATGTCCTGAACACACACACACACACACACACACACACACACACACACACGTAGTCTCTCAAAACTGATATTTGAACAAATCTAAATAATGTAGTTTTTTTGTATAATCTGTAAAATCCACATTGCCTTATAGAAGATGTTGCTTCGGAGATAATCTATGTGTGCTACATTCAGCAGGCAAAGTATTACATTGTAGATATTATTATGCTTAATCTTTGCGCAGAACAGACATATTAGGTATGGGAGTGTTTAATCCCCCCACAGGAATTATCTGACTGTCTGGAGATTTATCTGTGCTCCCTTCAGGGTCCCTTGCAGGCAGAGGGAGACACTTGTGCTGTTATAATCCATACTGAAAAATATATTATGCTATATATCGCTGGATATTATGAAATGTTTCAGTTTATGATTGCAAAACCAATTATAAGTATTTATTGTTGCTGCGAACAAGATGAACCCAGAGCTATGAAAATGCTTTTAGCCTTCAGTCAGCCACATAGTATTACAACTCAGAAGTTTTAAATGTGACTCTGACAAGAGTGTTTTTAATACTGCAGTGAAATATGATTGAATGTAAAACAAACACAAATGGATAATCACATACAAAAATCCCTGATGCCTTCTATTAAATTCTCCATGAAGTTGTTATATTAGATACACAGACTTACCGGAGTTTCACTATACAATAAAATGTGCTGCAGAATTGAATCTAGTCTGGCTCATTTGATTTGATTTACATGCTGAGGTCAATTACCTGATGGAAAGAGCACTACAGATCCCCGATATCAGCTGTTGGCATTTATAAACCTGGCGTCACTGCAATCTGCCGCATTTAGGCAATTCTGGTATTGAGTAGCGTTAAATTACACTGATGCACATAAATGCTGCAAGGAAGATGCATAGCTTTGCATTCATATTTTTTTTTTTGCTGAGGCAGATCAGTTGGTCCTGAAGTTGGAGCTCATTCAGCTCACCACCTCGAGCTTGTAAATGTTCAGAATAGTGAGTTCAAAACACTGAAATCTATTTGTATTACTTCAAGAAAGCAAATCAGAGTTTGTCCCAAATGTTAAACTGTTCCTTTAAATATCTTCCTTAAACATACTCCTATTGACCAGTTTACCCTGATTTTACATGAATCGTTTTATTTAATTATTTGATATACCTTAATACTGGAATTGGTTTTATCTATTTTATTAAAAAATCGGATCCATTCGAACTTGATTTTTCACTTTTAGGTTGATTTAAATGTTTAACTGTAATATCTACAAGTTACAAATTGTAAATAATAACATAAACAAAAAAAAAATCCATGCTGTCTACTTGTAATGCTGAATTGTAAACAACCGTGTCTACACAATATGGTGGGCTAGCTTCACTTACTACGTATTTCTGCGGTGGCGTACTTTGGGATCATAGAGTCGGTGGTGAGCTCTGGATGGAGGATGCAGCCGTGTGTGTAAGCGTCCATAGGCAGATCGTCCAGTAGCTGACGGTACTGCTGCACACGGTCGTGGAGAGGCGAATCTGCTTCAGGAACCAGCTGAGCCACCGTGTCTGCGGGGGCGAGACACCGATGTGACAACAGCAATACAGAGGAAATATAGCTCAGGACCTTGTCATTGCTCTCTGAAGATGACAATCACAGGCACAGAAAAACATGCATGAAGTTTCAACAAAATGTGCAAACAAAACAATAAAAAAATTAATCCTGAGCACAGTTGCACTTTGGTATTATTCTTGGTATATTTTCATAAACTTCCCTGAACACTTGAGGTTTCTAAGCAACCGTTATTAAGCTTTTGCTTTTACATCCCTCCGACATAACACAATTCTCCCTCCTTCCAGCATGGCAACCCGGTAACAGATGACACCTCTCGTTCTCTGCAACACACTGGCGCTCAGTTTTCACAAAGCCTAACATTTAGACAATACGGAAGCAGTAGGAAAAAAAACATCTGGAGAGTAAAAAGCGCTTCTGGGAATCTATTTGGAGTGGAAGAGTAAACAGGTTTAAACTAAAAACACAGTTCAACCCCATGAGATGAAATTCAAGCACAATCCAGTTGAACAAAAACACAAAATGCTCAGGAACGTGTGGCCACAGTTTCATAATACACACGGGTCAATTCTTCTATGACAGCACCAATCCTCTACTGACCTGATCTGCTCTATGCATCTGCTGTTGCTCACGTCAAAGGAAAAGCGTTTATTTGCTGTCATGCCGAAAGCTATAGATGAGAGGATGAAGATGACTCTCACATGGCATCTGTCCGTTATACTGTACTTTTATTAAGTCATGATACTCTTAAAAGACAGATTTTAAAAATGTAGACATACTAAAGAGACAGATATTAGAGTGATATCGATTTTCTCATCCAACTCTCTGCCATAAATCCACTTTTCAGATTTTTGTACAGATCATTTCCCGAAATGTTGAACTCATACTTTTAAAAATGAGTGAGAGAACCAGCTTTTGTATTTTGCTGTCTCAATTCTTGTGCTGACTTCATGCTGCATGGCTGGGAGGGATAATGTTCAACGTAATGACCTGCTGCTGAGGTTCAGAATTAAGGATGAAACAGGTTAGCAGAACAGAGTGAGCTTTTATCTCTGTGCAGGGTCACAGCCAGCCGAACCAGCCAAACTCAGGCGCGGCGTAGCTGACAGTTGGCTGGTTGAGGATGTCCGGGCCGACGGAGAAGCTTGAGGAGGGGTGGAGCTGCACCTGGCAGAGTTCCAGAAAGCTGAGTAATCACTCCCTGAACCTGCATGCTGACCTGGGCATGCCATGCGGCGGTCCTCTACGTGGTCTGCTGCAGCACAGGGGCGGAAGTATCACGTCAGCAACTAAGAGCCATCTGAAGAACAACGCATTGTCTTGGGGACCGCGACGCTCAATACAGATTATAAGAGCAACTGATTGTTTGATTGTAAGTCAACAAACAGTTGAACACAGTAAGAGCCATCTGCTGCATCTCAACAACACAGTGGAGTGGTCCGAGTTGGCACCACGTTGCTCTGTGCCGGTATTAGAGTCTCTTTTCTGAGACATCTGCACTTTCCAGGCCAGCTGCAGCCCACGTCGCCAGCATCCGTGAGGGATTTACACACAGAGAAAAAGCATTTATTTATGTCTTTTCTAGCAGGTTGACTTCTGGTTTCTAAACGTGTTGTGTGTTTCACAGAATACCCCAGCTGAAGTGTTACATTACACTTCATAGTTGCAGACTTCAAACCAACTTCTTCCAAAAGAAATGAATGCAATGACCCGCATGCAGCCCTCTATCAAACAGCTAAAATGAATGTGTCTGAACGAGAACAAGACATCAAACACCAGGGTCCGTAACCGCCTTCTATTACTGAGCGAGCAGTCAACCAGATCGTCTGCAATGCTTTCAAGCATTGCTGCTCCGAACGAGTGACCACAAACTATGCTAAGACAAGGGAGATAGTTACTGGTCAACATCCCTCAGGCCTTTACTGGTTTGAGGCTCGCCGGACAATTACATAACGGCATAATGTCTCAACTGACAAATAGGACATGCCACCCACAGAGATTCAGAGAGAGCAGGATTCAGTGTATGCATCATAACGTTTGCTTACTCTTAGAACAGCATAGGCAGTGGATGAACCTGAGTCACCGCCTCACAATGCACATTTCACATATTTGCACATCTTTACTTATTAATTTGTTGGGCTCAATGTTTTAGTAATGATTCATTCAATCAATGAAGTTCTTGCCACATTTTTCTCCCAAGAGATCACTCCAGTTTCATCTGATCTAATCCGAGGAGTTCACATTGCTGCAGAGGCATCGTTTCAACGACTTGCACAGTTTCACAGCATAGTACCCATCGACACACACCATACAAGGATGACAGATGGCCACGAAATGATGGCTTTCAATGGTCTTTGCTACTCCAGCTCCACAAACTGGGAGGTTTGCAGCCTCATATTCTCAGGCAACTGCCCCAGAAAACCCTGGATCAAATGTGTGTCAACTGGTTTGCAGTAAATTAATTAATTAACGGAAAGTTTATTTCACAAATGCACAACTAAAACTATGGCGAACCGGGTCAAACAGTTGCTGTTTGGGTTCTATATGTTATTAGTAATGTTTGACAGAAGCAGGCATTTCATTTTTAGCTTTCTTTTTAGATCCATGAATTGGTTGGAAAAAGCTGTCTGTTTCTGATGTTTTAATATTTGCAGGTGACATGTTTTAAAACGGACCATACCATACCTCCCACAAAGTGTTTCTCCAGGTAATCTATAATCTGATTGTAGTCACTGATGATGGTGTCGCCGTGGAGGAAGACGGGCACCTCCTCACCCAGGTTCAGCCTCATGAACCAGGGCTCCTTGTGCTCCTGCAGCGGCATGCTCACGTCCCTCTCCTCGCAGACCAGACCCTTCTCATGAATGACTAGACGTACCTGCAATCACAAGCACATGCAGCTGATGAGCAGGAAAGATGAGACGGGAAACGCGTTCATCGTTGCACTGTCTGCCTTTTTGTTCTAGGGAGTCAAACTAAAAAACAAGACTGACAAGAGGAAAGAAAAGTTAGCCTAGGCTCTAAACAAAACATATTGAATAATGAATCAATATACATGCGAATATCTGTATGAGGCAATATGCACATGGTGACATGTTGACGCTTTAAAGACGTAAAGACAGGAGGAAGACTGATGATCAATTTGATCTGAAATAAAACAAAAACATTGCGCAATAATCTTGTTTGTTACTTGTTGAAAAGGAGTATTTGCAATAACACCAAAGCTGTGCAGGGTAGCTAATACATTCAGCTGTTAGTTCATGACATAACACAACTTATCATGTTTGTGTTGTGTATAATAAATAACCTTATCTGAATTGTTTGTATGGTCTGGAAAAGTAACGAGATGCTTTACAGCGTGCTAACGTTTCAGCAAAAACCTTCAGGGATGAAGGATGAGCCAAGGTCCATGGAGAGCTATTAGTGGGAATAAGATTAGAGAAAGTAGATGACACTTGGGCTATAAAGTGCTACATTTGGCCGCTTCGAAAGAACAACCAAATGGGAGTTTTGCCAAACATGGTCAGACATGGTGTAATGAAATAATACTGAATGATTTAGTAACAAAATCACAGTAATAACAGCCTGGTTCAGTAAGAAGGAACAAATCTATGATTGCAGCTGCAAAGTCAAACCAGAAAAAATAGCTTTTTATATCTCTATCGCCAGAACTTTACACACTTCATCAAGGATGTCTATACAGAACTCTGTTTCAGGTTCCAGTCATACACTGCTAGGTGAAGCCCACAGCAACATAGTATCTGTTGCTTTAAGAGTTTGTTATATAATAATATTAGTCATCTCTTAGTAACAATGCCAAGTAGTTCAGCTGCCTGGGAACTACAAAATAAACACCTCTTACTTGACTTCAGCTACATGCATGTTACTATGTTTGTGGTTAACAGTGGTGGAAAGTAATCAGTAATACTGAACTTAAGTACAATTTTGAGGTACTTCTACTTGACTTGAGGATTTCTATTTAATTTTGCTTAATACTTCTACTCCACTATATTTATCTGCTATAGTTACTAGTTAAAATATTACGTTTTTATAGAATAAAAACATATGATAAACTTATAACATACAACATATAATTATATTAGGTGTGACGCCTTATAAAAAAAGCAGTGTCGAGTTCTTCGGTCATGGTTTCATTTAAATGGCCAGTGTGTAGGATTTAGGGGGATTTATTGGCAGAAATTGAATTTAATGTTCAACCAACATGTACACAAAAGCGATTATATGTTCCTGTATTAGGATTAGCAATAATCTAATACAAATATCTGCAGAATGAGTACTTTTACTGCTAATACTTATGTATTTGTACTTAAGTAGGACTTTGAATGAAGCACTTTTACTTGCAAATTAGTATTTTTTCATTGTTGTATTAATGCTTTAATACTTTCTAAGATGTGAATACTTCTTCCACCACTGGTTGTTAATGCAAACTCTTAAATGACTGACCAGATACTTGCTGGTGTCCTGACACACTGCCTCTACACAGACAGAAAGTGTTACAGCCTCACAGAAGGTGTGTTGAAGGTGTAAATCTCTAACCTGCAGGCTCTTAGGTTTGCAGTGCTCTATTGATTTGTGAAGCTGGCCTCTAAATGTGCCGTTATTCCAGGGTATTGAGCTCTATCTGTCTCTCATCTTTATCATATTTGCTGTCTTCTCGAGACATCACTCATGTGAGGTAGATGAATATAGTGTATGACCCACTTCAGACCATGGGAGCACAGTTACATAGGCAGTTGTTCATGAAGCATTATAAACACAGGAAGGATAAAGAAAGTGTCGTGCAAGAGAAATGAAATGGCTCAGCTTCCCTCCTCTGCTCAGGAATTTGCTGAGGCATACAGGGACTTCCCCCTGAATATCTGATGACAATATCGTCTTCACAGGGTTGTTGATCTGTTGGAGAAGTGATTCCTTTGTCATTGTCACTTGCTCAGTGTCTCATTGCCAAAGTGTTATGTGCAGGTTGTCTTTTTAGTAAAAAAAAAAAAAAAGTGGTTTCATGTCACACAAGATTGACTAAATATAACACTACCTTTCAAGGTGCTGCGGAGAAACTTCGCCAATCACGACGCAAGCATTTGTGTTGCATTTAGGCCCAAAATATGCAGTTCAATTCTGGTGGAGTGGACAACCTAGTGCTTGGCCCCTTAATCTCATAAAAGCCATCCTCAAAATGCAGTTTAAAGCACGCATCAGCTTGCATAACAACAAATGTCACACGCTGTTGTACAAATACATAGAATCAAGAATTCCGTCCTGCAATTTTACTGAAATCCATGTGTGCTGTTCCTAAAAAATGCATGCCAGAGTATCTGTTCATTGACAGCACAGTCACACATGATCGTGAAGTCACTGCAGCTACTCCAGCTCCAGGACTAAGGCAATAATCATGACAGTGAGCCTGGTGTTTACCCTCTGCTGAGTGACAACCGGCACAATCAGCAGCTCAGACTTCGGTGGCTGTGAGCAAACAATTGGTCCTCATAAGTAACGTACCGGCATGAGACTGAGCATCCACTCAAGGTTGTTGGAGAGTATCTCAGCGACCTTTACCGAATGCAAGTCCATGAGCGAGTTGAGGGGCCAGCTGGTTCAAATATGTATATAATCACCAGGGCTACAACTAACAATCATTTTTAATATAAATTAATCTAGCGATTATTGTCTCAGTTCATACTTTAATCTGTGAAATGTAGAAATATACTGAAACCGGCAATCACAACTTCCAAAGTCCAAAGCATCAGTCCAAAACAGAAACAGAAATAATATACAATTATATGTGACAAAAAGACAAGCAGCAAATCCTTGTAAGATACTGAAACCAGAAAATATTTAGCTTTTTCGCATTAAAAATGACTGAAACGATTAACGACATATAACAATTCAATCAGAATAGTTGCCAATCAAATTTCTTTCAATCGACAAATTGTTGCAGCTACAGTAATAACAGCGGGACAAAGGACCGAACACTGTAGAGGTTTTCAAACCGCAGAGATTACAGATGAAAAGTATGAAAAGTATGGATGTCACAAAGCTCTTGCTGTAAATACCTGTGCTGGTAATCGCTGTAGTTTTTTCTGCCCTCGCAAAGAAAAATCACAAAAGGTTTCAGTTTCTATCAGCAACAGCTGCAGTGGATGCCAGTTTGTCTTAGAATATGAAAAGCAAACCTCAAAACCAGCATATTATTTTCATAAAGACTGACGAAACAAATGCAAACTGAGAGATTACATCAAGTTATGGGAGCGACTGGAACAGAGACAAGACACGACGTGACATCAGGACTTCTGCTCTCTATCAGACCCTCTCTGTCTGGTAAATATCATGTCCTTCAGACTCCACACCCCCAGTTTGAAAGAAATAACCCCTGTGATACCATAGTGATGTCACCGGGGGGTTATTTATTTTAGGACTTCTCAAAGCTGCCACACAGCCTGTAGAAACGCATCATGTATAGTGTCTTATGTGGCTCCAGAGCACTACCTTTGACTAGTGAACTGAACTTTATCTGTACGATTCATGGAGTGCCCCTTTAATATGCATGCTGCTTGTGAGGTAAAACCCTATGGATCATACATAAGAGTACAGAGCCGAGCTTTATAGTTATTTCTGTGAATGAATTGCTTTCAGAGCTTTATTTTTTTCAAACATGCTCATTTAATATGGGAAGGTACAGGTTACTGTCTACGTTACCAATGGCAGAGTTAAAGAAGCCCTTGAAATAACAACATATGGTATGATTCGGCTGCAGAAGGGGGGAAGATGGCCTTTGGTTTGTTTTGCACATCATTTCAATCAATTATTTAGGATGTCATGTGTCAGAGCACATAGGTTGTAGACACATTTACCAGCCATAGGGAGCCAGAACAGCTTCAACGTGTTGTTAAAAGGTGGAAGCTCATGAGATATGAGGGGTGATTTATACAGTGGTAAATAAACTGAATATTTGCCACCAATCCAGATCAATGTCGAGGAAATGAGCCCTATGCTGCAGCGCATTTCTAAGCGTCTCAAACGGGAGATCTGCCCCGCTGCATGATCATATTCATATTCCGGGGCAATATGTGCAAGAATAAATATGCACAGAAAATCACGTTTTGATCATAATAAACAGACAAGAGCTCCATGCTGTAGCATCATGCAAAGGGACGTTGAGCCACCTCCATTTTCAAGCTCTGCCCTTTTTTTTTTTACCTTTTGGGAGGTGAAAGACTGCGTCCAGTGGTACAAAACGAGCCTGTCTTTACTGAAGGGTTTGGTCTCTGCCGTCGGTTCTTCGCACACCTCCCCGTCTGTGATTTTGCCGTCTTCGTCCATGGCTGAGATGGGCCACCAGCTACAGTTGGTGGGGGTAACATTGTTGGAAGACGCCATGACAGAGCGTTTTGTGCGTGTGGAGGAGAGGAGCGAGGAGGGAGAGAAGAGGAGAGAGAGAGCCAGAGAGAGAGAGAGAGAGAGAGAGAGAGAGAGAGAGAGAGAGAGAGAGAGAGAGATTTCAGCAGCTCGAGCTCAGCAGCATCATCAGTTCACGCGGCAGCAGCATCCGTCAGTTTCGGACAGCTCCGGTGCTGAAATCGGCTTCAACGAATGAAAACCAATACCATTTTTTGTTTTTTTCTAAATCAAACAAACTCCATATGCAAATAGCTACTTACTCGAGCATACCGCTGCACTTTCGATTCAATCAATGTGTAACCGAGGGCTATTACATCACATGATGAGCCACGCACAAACATGCGCGATGAAACCCGCGGAGGAAGCGTTTTTTCACAGGAAGGTCAAGCGGCTCTCTGTAAGGACATGGAGGCTGTAGACTGTAGGGCTGGAGTCAGGGTTAAATTATTTTAATTGTATACGCCTACACGTGTTATACTAGACAAAAAAAGGAAACAGTTATTAGCAACATGTGCCTATAATGCCTCTAGCAAAACAATAAACTTTACTCAACACTTTATTTAAGTAGCCTACTTTTCTTGAGTTTTTCTGCTTTATACTTTCAATGGAATGTTGTAGCCCACTTTTTACTCCACTCCACTACATCTCAGAGGCATGTGGTGTACTTTACTGTGTTTTACTCCTTTGACTGCAGCTTAATAAGCTACTTACTCGATTACAGTTTTTCATACCCTTCCTTCTCAGTGAAAAACATAAATGTATCTCCCTCTGATTAACAATTTAAAACCACTATTGCAAAGTAGCCTGCTAGCTTAATGGGATGTGTACTGCATTAAATATACTAGTCACCAGCGCCATTCTTACTTTCTGGATTAAGCATTTTGACTGAAAATAGTATGATTTTGACTTAAACTTGTATTACAATTTTCTATAGCATATGATGCTTTTAATTAAGTAAAATATCTGAGTAGTTATTCTACCACTGCTCATTTCGAAAAGTTTAACACAGTTTACAGACTTTTTTGAGTAGGATACTTTATATTTAGCTGATTGTACTTTTGCCCAAGTAGGATTTTGAATAAATCAATATCTACTTTTATTTGGGATTAATTGTTTTAGCATTAATGTATTTGTATTTTTATTTAAGTAAAAGATTTCAGTACGTCTTCTGTCACAATTAGTATTCTAAAAAGGTTTAACACCTATGAAATTTGAATATCTATGATGCAGTTACCGACATTTGCCAGCAGGAGGCGTGAAGAGAGTGAAGAAGGCACACTGTACAACTTGCCCCATAGTGAGAAACATTCATTCCACTGTTAGTAAATTAAATTAGGTCACAATAATAAAAAAGGGATTGCTTGGGTAGACTTAAGTAAACTCCTCTAGCTATCTGGCAAACTAACATCCGATCTATGATACATGCTTTTATATTAAATCAATAGGCATATCACAAAATGTACTGTAATGAGAACGTCATTATTAATATTAGATTATATAAGATATGAGACCACATGGGTTCAGCAAAATTGGCCAAAATCGTTATTTTATATCTCAAAAACAAAACGTATCAAGATATAGCATGTTTTCTGGTTATTTAATAAATAGTTGATGGAATAACCTCATGGTTTTGTACCCTTGTTTCGATTAAATATACTTGACAGCTGAAAGCACTGAGTATTTTCTCATTTAATTAAGACTTTTAGAGCAAATAATCATTTTGGTGCTTGTGATCAATTTAGACGAAGTAATGGTGTCACAATATATCGTTATGTGATTGAATGACGATATTCCATTGAAAGAAAAATAAATCAGCCCTATAATACCACAGAAACATCAATGGGAAATAACAGGTCTGTATCAGATATCTCTTTTATCAAGCTTAGCCTTTATTACATAGTTACTGCATTAACTGCAGGGGGAAACTTATTGTGGGCAGAGTCCTCAATGGCATGCACTTCAGCCCCGAGGTGGCAAGACTCTGGCATGGATCCTTGCAGGCAGCAGCATAAGGATTGGGTTGTATTTTTGGAAGGGTGTGGATTGGTCGCCTTGTTGGGTCTGCTGAAATATGTCCAACGGCAGCGACTGTCAAGAGAGCTGGGTGGCAGGGACAGGGGGAAAGGGGCTTTTCTCTGTGGCCACCTGGAAAAAGCCATGTAAGATCAGTGGCTCGTCAGGACATAAATAATTCCATTTATTAACCCAGTCATCCAAAGAAGAAAGAGGAGATTGATGAGTGAATTCGACGAATCCAAGAAGAAGACACTGGAGTTCAAGAGGACGAAATAAAAGTTTCTGTTAAGGGTGAAGACGTGCGCACTGGAGCTTCATGGACACGCGCAGAAATCCTCAAACCAACTCCAAAAAAAGAAACCCCCACAAGTTCAGCACCAAGGATATCTCCAATCAGTTTTGATGTCAGGTGAAGGTGAAGTCAGACTGACGGAGGTTTTATCTTTAGCCAGGTAACAGACTCAAACTTAACTTTCCGATCGGTGGTTTGTAGGGCTGCGGGGAGGCATGAGTGGAGGTCGCTTTGAGTTTGACGACGGCGGAGCTTATTGCGGAGGCTGGGAGGGAGGCAAAGCCCACGGCCATGGCATCTGCACCGGACCCAAAGGCCAGGGCGAGTTCTCCGGCTCCTGGAACTACGGCTTTGAGGTGGTGGGAGTCTACACATGGCCCAGCGGGAACACTTATGAGGGGTACTGGTCGCAGGGGAAGCGTCACGGCCTGGGAGCAGAAACCAAAGGACACTGGATTTACAAAGGGGAATGGACTCATGGCTTCAAAGGGAGATATGGCATCCGGATCAGTATTGGCAGTGGAGCGAAGTATGAAGGAACATGGAATAATGGGCTTCAGGATGGATATGGAACAGAAACATATGCTGATGGAGGTGAGATTTACAAATTGAGACTTTTGACTTTTTTACAATGCAAAAAAAAAAGTAACAAATACTGTAAAAGTAACAAATACTATCTTACAAGGTGAAGTTGTAACAGAGTTATATTTCTCTGAAATGTTGTGGAGATGTATGAAGTTGCATAACATGGAAACACTAAAGTAAAGTAGCCTTCCAGTACCATAATATTATTCTTTAAATGCAGTGCTGGAGTAAATGTAGCCTACTGGAGCTCAGCTTTACTGTGATTACACAGTGGTGGAAGAAGTATTCACATCCTATTAGGCCAACCAAAATGTAGAAAGTCTCTACAAGTAAAAGTTCTGCATTCAAACGTTTATTTCACTAAACAAACAATAGTATTAGCATCAAATTATACTTACAATTATTTAAAAGCTATTCCAAAGTTGCTGTTTTCAGGAGGACCACAATTTACCTGTCAGGAAGTTTAATCCCAAAAGTAAAATGCATTTCTTTTTTATTCAATTATTATTTGTTTAAATTAAACTGCTTTATATATTTCTGGGTAGGTTGTGAATTTCCCTCTAGGGATCAATAAAGTCATATTTCATGATTATATTTGTATTGTCAATCTGAAAAGTAAAGTAAAGTTACCAAATAAATGTAGGAGTAAAACGTACAATATTTGCCTTTGAAGGATATAGTAGTATATAAAGTATAAAGTACTGGGAAATGGAATTAGTCAAGTACTTAAATTGTAAAATGAAAAAAAACTACAATACTTAAGTAAATGTACTTGCAATGTGGATGTGCATTCAAATTGCAACTGCAGGAGAGGATACATTCAGATCCTTTACTTAAGTAAAAGTGACTCCTAATTACTCTAGCCTAATCCATACAATGTGTCCTTTTTTATTTGTTAATCATATGTTGCGTGTCTAAAATGTGAACCTGTAAAGTAACTAGAAAGATAAATGCAGAGGAGTAAAACAAATAAAGTAGCATGACAATACAGACGTAAAAGACGGACTTCAAAATATTACTGAGGTACAGCACTTGATTACTTTCCCACCACGGAAATAATAATAACTAAATCACAACATTAAGACCAAAAGCCCCGAAGCCAAGTGTGGCCATAAGGTCCACTGTACAAAGTTCATTGCAGGCAACATGGAGACAAATCACAAACAGGGCAGCCTAATGATCCTCATGGTCGTTTGCGATGTCTATGTGTAACCAGAAGAAAATATCACCCTGCTGCTGTCAGTCAAGAGCTGCTCAAAGCTGGTTGGAAATCAAAAACCCACAGGACTCTTTCCATTTTGTTAAATTACACCATCAACAGTGGTGGTGGAAGTAGTATTAGACGTTTTCAGATGTTTTACTGAAGTAAAAGTAAAGATGTAAAAATACTTAGTCACAGGGGGAAAAAATTCATGATACATTATATGGATTGCTGTATAAGCATTACTTTCATACACTCACTCACACACACACACACACACACACACACACACACACACACACACACACTGTTCTGTAGTTCAATCTATACAATGCATCATATTGTATACACTAATCAGTTGTATTTGTGTATGTAAAACCTGGATCTGCAAAGTAATAACCAAAGCTGTCATATAAATGTAGTGAAATGAAAAATAAAGTAGCATAAAATGTAAATACTCAAGTAAAATACAAGTACTTTAAATTGTCCTTTGGATAAAGTTCTTGAGTAAATTAACTATTTTTACTTTCCACCACTGATCATCAAGACGTTCTTGTTAACAGGTCAGATTAGGCGAGATAAAATGAAAGGTTACAAAACATCCTGAACATTTAAAGTTAAGTTTTACTTCCGGGAAGCTTCTGGTGCCCCACCATCCATCTGATCCCCCAGCTCATCCATTTGAATGTGTAGAGGAAACCAAACAGCTCAGACAAATACAATTAATTGTGTTGATCTCTGCTTGTATAATAGCAGTGGTTCCCCTCTTCAACAGCTGACTCATCAGCTTTAAAGCCCAGTCTGGTGGAAGTAGCAGTGGGGGATGTGATAGCATCAGATGTCAGGATGTAATAATAGGCAACAGGCCCCATGCACTCCTGGCCTCACGGGTTGAGACCTAGCTGTCACTATAATCCACACTCATGTCAATTTTAGCATGAGACCAGACCTCTAGATGACTAGATGTCAGTGAGGGCATTAATGCACATTTCACACTAAAGATATCCATGACATTCTGTCAAAAAGTGAACTATTTTCACTCCAAGCCATGTTTTAAAGTCTACAGCCATGCTAGCAGCTCTGTGAGGCTGTAGACTAAATGCTAACATACTCACAATGACAATGCTAACATGCTAATATTGGGCAGGTAGAGGCTAATGCTCACCAGGTTCACCATCTTAGAATGCTAACATTAGCTAATACGCACAAAACACAAAGTACAGCTGAGGCTGATGGGAATTAGTTTTTGCTGGCATTTGGTATTAAAACAGTGTTGGACATTAAAATGTTCACTTGATAATGGTGCTATACAAAGTCAGGAGATCACCAAACATGAAGGGGTTTGCTGTCTAGAAACCACGAACGTCTGTTCAAAATGGTGTGCCAATCCATGCAGGTGTTGAGGTATTTCACAAGATAAGTGATAACTTTGACCTGCTGGTGGCATAGAAGTCAGGCGATCGGCAAAATTGGTAGGACCTCTGGGTTGAGTGAATGTTTGTACCGAATTTCATTGCAATCCATCTGACAGTTGAGATATTTCAGTCTGGACCAAAGTAGTAGACAAACCAACCATGACAAAGCCATCTAGAGCTCCGTTACTAGCATGGCTATAAAGTAGCTTCTGATTGGTCAGTGGTGCAGTTGGAAAACAATGATTCCCTGTTTTTTCTGTGTCCAGGTACTTTTCAGGGTCAGTTCACTGGCGGGATGCGGCACGGCTATGGGGTCCGGCAGAGCGTCCCTTATGGCATGGCAGCAGTTGTCCGCTCCCCTCTTCGTACCTCCCTGACCTCACTTCGTAGCGAGCACAGCAACGGCACCGTCTTGCAGCAAGACATCCCCATCATCACCACCACCAACGCCTCAGGTGAGGAGACACCCGTCGCCACCCCTACCCATCTGGGACCGTCCCGCGGAGGCTTTGCCCTCACTCTCCAGGTGGACCCAGAGGCTGTGAAACCCAAGAAGAGGGGTCTGTTTCGCAGGGGCTCCCTTTTGGGTAAGCTGAAGAAGTCCGATTCAAGTACCTCGTTGTCCAGCCAGAAGAGCAAGATCAGCTTTCTGAGGACGGAATCGGCTCTCAGCTCCAACGCCAGCGACACCAACTCCACCATCAGTATTGGGGACGAAAGCCTAGCCGGAGCTGAGGATTACCCCCCAGTGGAGGCCGACATCGACGCCACCACCACAGAGGTCTACATGGGAGAGTGGAAGAACGATAAACGCTCAGGATATGGAATAAGCGAACGGTCCAGCGGGCTGAAGTACGAGGGCGAGTGGCTGAACAACCAGAGACACGGCTACGGATGCACCACCTTCGCCGAGGGAGGGAAGGAAGAGGGCAAGTACATGAACAACTTGCTGGTGAAGGCCATGAAGAAGAGAGTGATCCAGCTGAAGGGAACCAAGATCAAACAGAAGGTGGAGCGTGCGGTGGAGGGAGCTCAGAGGGCTGCAGCCATCGGCAAGCAGAAGGCAGAGATCGCTGCTTCCAGGTAAGAGCAGATGGGTGGAGACATGATTTTCCTTATTCATCTTGTTTATAGAGGAAATATTTATAAAGACAAACAAGACTCTTGAGTTTTCTCTTGTCCTAGTTTGTATATCTCATGTAGTCACATTGCTACAACAACACTTTCTCGTTAGTGTGTTAGTCCAGTGCAGTTATAATACACTGCAAGTTTAGGGGAATGGTCTGCAGATACTACAGAAAGGAGAGATAATGTGACACTTTACATGAGGCATTTATTGCCAATTAGCGCTTTCTAAAAGCCGACAGTGTACTGCCACCGGCTGTGAGCACAGCTGCTCTGTCTGTCTGTGGTGGTTGAAGCTGTGGATGTGGTTATTGCTCAGACTATGGCTGCACTGGTGGTTGAAAGACAGCTACAACATCATCCGATTACTATAATCATCATCAGCTTTGGTTTACTTCTAAAAAATATATATATTACCTGGTGATGAAAAACACAAAAAGTGATTTAACAAAACGTAAAGCTGTTGTGAAGGCATTTCCACAATACTCAAAGCCTCCTCTAACCATCTGGATGAAGAAATATTCTATCCACTGCAAGCTGCAAAACCTGTTTCTTGAGTTGTTCCTCTTTTGCCAAATCCAAACTAAGATGGTAGACAGGAATTACATAGTGTGTCCATGCTCAATTTGTCAACATTACATTTAAAAAAAAAGTTTTATTATCCATTTTCAGTGATATACTACATTTATGTTATACTCTATTTTGTGCAAAATAATTTTTTTTGCCAAAAAAATGTAAAAAAAGATTTTTATTTATTTAAGTGGTTAGAAGGATCTTTAAGGATTCTGGAAATACCTTCAGAACATTGTTAGGTGATGTTTCTAAGATGACAGAGCTTTATTGCCTAGAGGCACAAACTGGTTTTTGGTTTACTCAGAGGGCAGTGTATGAAGGTAAATGAGGTTCATGTAGACATAATAGCAATAAAAAGAGACACTTCATTCATTCAGAGTCACTAACTCCCTTCACTGACTCTGGCTGCTGGCCACAATAATTCCCATAATAGAAAAAGCAACCAAAGAATCGTTATATTTTCTGTTACTGTATTACAGACAAGAAGTAATGAGCGCAGTGGTTGAAGAGGCTGTTTAGAGTCACACTGTTTGAACCACAGGATTGTATATCACGCTCTGGATTACTAAATGTTCAACCCATCATGGGTTTCCATAATAAATGTTGCAATGATTGCAGCGTTAAAAGAAAAACGAAAAACGAATTTCACCTTCTGTTTCTCCGTTTCCGTAGAACTGGAGTATACTGTATAACATTTCAACATAGCCATAAATATTAAAATTGGTAATTTCATCTTCACCAGTGTTCTTTGTGCATGCAGAGATGGTGGTAATATTAGCAATAGTCATATTTGGTGAGCCCAAAGATACGTTTTCATTAACTTTTCTCACACATTAAGACCACAATGCAACACAAGATGGTTCCGCGGATATAAATACAACACAGCTCATAAGCAAGTGCCTGGGTATGAAGGGTTGGCATATATATGTACCACACCTAGCTTTAGTTGTGAGGCTTGGATTACATACTACACTGTACAAGATCTTACAGTAAATCATAGAAGAACAGATCAACTCTGGGTTCAAACGAGCAGATAATACTAATAAAATAAGACAAAAACAGAAAAGTGCAGATAAATACAACTTAAATAATACAAATTTGATCAGATTCAAAATGGCCAATATCCATTAATTTCACCATTCAGTAAAATCTTTTGGCTTTATCTGACTCTTCCAGAAGATTAAAAACTTAACTTTAAAATGTTTAGGATTGTTTGTTACCCCTTGGTGTGGAGGAATTACATTTGATCTGACCTAATATGGTATGTTAACAACAAATTCTTAATGAGTGGTGTAAAGAAAAGTTATTGATTTACCAAAGTACTGTATTTAAATAAATCTAACTTTTAGATTTCACTTTCAGGGTTTAGCTGATCACTTCCTGAGTGGCCCAAGGATTTTGCCACCAGTAAAAATATTGACCCCCGCAATTAATTTGAGCAATACAGTATGAACATTTATCGGATATCATTGCAGACAGGAATAGTTTGGGGATTTATTTCCTAAGTAAAGATATATATATATATATATATATATATATATATATATATATATATATATATATATGCTTACAGGCAGGTACAGGTACTACTGGCTCACAGTCAGAGTCAGAGTCAGGTTCTGATGAGTGGAAAGCAAAGGCCCAAAGCAGCATGGCAACTGTGACGATCTGGCAGGGTAGGAGTAGAAATAGGCCAGTTATATACTGCAGACTGCAGACTAACGAGAGAAATGGGGAACAGGTGAGTAGGGGCGGAGGGGTTCGTGCAGGGCAGATGAAGGAAAGTGGAAACCGGACAGAGAGACAGAATATGACAAAAAAAACTATTGCTTAGTGCAAGATTAAAGGAATAGTATCTCGCCAAGAGTTTTAAGAGAAGACCACTCTCATATGTGTCTGTTAAATATGAAGCCACAGACAGTTAGCTTAGCTTAGCATAACAACTGGAAACAGACGGAAACAGATAGACTGTTCAAAGGTAACAATTTCTGTCTTGTTAGCTGGTAGATATTATTGTTCATATGTCTACCTTTTACCGTTGCCTGTGACCGTACAAGGCGGCGATATTTTTCTCCGCAGTCGTCTTCAGCACCTGATGTAAGCTCAGTGTTTACAGCAGTGAGACTCGCACTGATGGACTGCAGACCTCTGTCCCAGCAGATTGAAATCTAAATATTGTACTCGCAAGGATAAGCAGTATATAAGAGTAATAGGCCAGTGTTCATTGCATCAGGGCTTTAAGCTTTATGCTTTTCCATTACATTTCAGAAGGACATATTGTATTTTTAAGTTCACTACATTTTTCTGACAGCTGGAGTTTCTACTTTTCAGATTACTCTTTTAGATAGATAGATAGATAGACTTTATTTCGGACTCAGGGTCCAGAGAGACAAATACATAAAAGACAAACACAAACAATAAATTACGGAGGCCTAGCAATGCCTTACAAAGAGACAGCTGTACCAATGTCGCCACAGCTGGGACTGGTAGCGTGTGGCTACCAGTCCCAGCCAAACGTTTGCCAAATGTTCAGAGACAAACGTTTGGCAAAATTTCTAAAATAGAATGCATTTCTATTTATTAAACCAGTGGTTCCCAATCTTTTAGGCTTAGTGCCTCATATCATGTTTCACAAATCTTTGTTTAAGTTGTTTGCAGTTCCGGCAAAGAGACATTTTCCCTCTAAACTATTATTTGAATAATTATTTTCTCCAATATTTCACAAACAAGCTGAGAGATTTAAGTCCAGAAAATGTATCTAATTTGTGTATAAAAACTTTATTCTAACATTACTCATCTCAAGACCCCTCACATTTACCTTGTGACCCTTTGGAGGGCCCTGATCCCTAAATTGGGAACCACTGGATTAAACTACCATATACTAGTTAAACGTATAGCTACAACTTACTGCAAGACTTACATTATGCATATGAATCAGTCACAGGGGCCGTTTTCTACAGAAAGAGTAGTTTTAATTGTAATACTCTAAGTGCATTTTGCCGATACTTCAGTACTTATAATCAATACTTTGAATGCAGGACTTTTACTTGCAATGGAGTACTTTTACATTGTGGTATTTTCTATTGAAGTAATCTAAATACTGACACCATACAAACTAAACAACAGAGTGTTCCTGCACGTTGAATTGGAATCTGTTTATTATACAAGCAGTGGAGACATGACACATCTGTTCCTGGCAGTGGCTTCCTCACTCCGTGATCCTTTGGCAATGAAGTCGAAATGTAAAAATACATGTGCAACCTGTGCACTGCATGGGATGCCAGACCTGGCCTCTTCAAGTCTAGTTAGCTGAGCGTTCACTGGCATCCAGTCACTCTGTGGACATTGTTCTGTAGCGTGGGCTGGCTGAAGGAGGACCTGTGTGGTAGGACAGGGTGTAAATGACGCACGCACACACAGGGGCCCTGTAGTCACGGAGGAGCCCTGACTAAATATGGGCAGGCGCACTCTTGCTGTATCACAATCACAGGGGAATGCAACAGCTGATTATCCCCCTCCCCCCACCTCCAAACCCCATCGTTCCTGCCTAGTCAGAGACACACACCCAGACTGTTTTCATAAGCTGAATCACAGCAGCTCTTTATGTTTGTCTGCATACCCATTACCTATTGCTTTACTCACTCGTCTCCTATTAAAGCAAATCAAATATTCGTTTAAATGGTGCACAACTCTGCCTGAAACAGTCGTCTGCTTGCTGATTTAGTTTCCATCCCCCACTGCACGCTTTAGCGCCACTACTCGCCGTTAACAGTTTGAGATCACAGATCTCGGTCCATCTTGCGTTAGCAGTGGTGTCAAATGGTTCCATGGATATAAATATGACACAGCTCATAGGCAAGTGCTTGGGTATAAAGGGTTATATATGTACCACACCTAGCTTTAGTTGTGCGGCTTGGATTACATACTGTACTGCTGATACGAGCATTTTGTGTGCAACACTTGTAAATAAAGTTCTAACCTCAGCTCAGGAGATCTTTGTGGCTATTCCCTGATGGGAAGTAATTAAGTACATTTACTTTTGAGGACTTTTACTTGTCTTGAGTATTTCTATTTTATGGGAATACTTCTACTCACAATTCAGAGGCATTCATTTAATAATGCTAGTTACTAGTTAAAGATCCAGATTAATAACAACAAATAGATTATGATTAATCCCTTGGTGGAATTCAAAAAGATATGCAAAGTTATCCTCACTTTTACCAGCTGCAACATTAAGGTGATGAACACATGAAAGCATCACTAATTATAATCCAATACCAGAATATATATTATGCATAATGAGTCCTTTTACTTTTTTAAATAAATTATATCTTCATGCTGATACTTTTGTACTTTTTGAATGTTTTACCTTTACATGAATATTTCTACACTAAAGTAAATGACTTCTTCCACATAAGGTAATCCTTATATGACCTCTCAGCAATGTGGTAATAATGAGTTTGCAATTAGCTCTTAATGTAGCCCATGTGTATTTTGACAAAGTGATTTGATTATAGTCAGAAGCATTAAGTCATCTTTATATAGACATTAAATCACTTTTTGACACACGCAACACTCACACAGATGAAAGGGGCCCTCCACAAAGATAAAGTGACACATGCCAGAATGCCAAAATATCTTTGCCATCAGCAGCCTGCTGTGCAACTGCAGCATGACGAAAAAGAAAATGATTACAAAATAGCAGAACAGAATTACATATTTGCAGTAACACACCAACATTTTGCATCGGTTCCAATTTAAGATTTAAGGTGTAAATAGTTTTGGGTGTTTCTTCCCACAGCTGACGTCTCATCTATCCTCAGAGTACAACAAGCGTCCTCGTAAGGCCCTACAAGCATAAGGGGTATTTAGGTCACAGTGTCAAATGTCATGTTTGGTTTGCAGAGAAGCACTGGAGGACTATCACACACTGCAGCAGTTGAAAAACGTTAAGGTCTTTCTGACCTGAATCCCTTTGTTCTATTGTAGGAGGAAGGCTTGTACAAATTTGACAGATATTTCTAGAGAAAGAGCACCCCTACTTCCTCTTCCTGCTCCCTAATAAAAGATTACATATGACTAAACTAAACTAAAAACAGTAACGCAAGTTAAATCTACAGCCTCTGTTTCCCCATTTTCACCTGGATCTTGATTGATATTTTAATCACTTAACCACGAACCAATTTCCAGCATCTGACGGAATAAAATCCCCCAAAGTTCTTAAAACCTTGTGAAGTATTATAAAAACATTAATTAAAACTACATGACTCCTAGGAAATGTTTGTCATTCATTTGATTTTATCTGTATTTCTGGCAGTTTTCTGCAGATGTCATGCTCTAAGATGTCTGTTTTGAACTTTTGTTTTCAATAGATTAATTTGTTTTTTTAAAGCTGGCATGGCAGTTAATACAGTGACAGAGTGATATACCAGAGTATGTGGATACAAATGAAATCACAATTGGATTCAACAGCTGAACAACAGCATTTGTGTTCAGTAGGGAATCATCTGTCCCAACAATCCCCATATTAGCTCTGCCACCTACCATGCTATCAGCAGCAATGCTGACCAATATTAGCAACTATGACCACAGTGGAGACATATTACTACACTGTTGACCCTCTACAAATATAAGGAAACACAGCTCAGTCTTCAGCTTAATTCCAGCCGGTGGTACTGGTTGTTGCTGATGATGCAGCATCTACTACATTTGGATAACTTGAGTGGTTATTTTAGGGTTAAATCTGTTTTACTTAGCAATGCAGGTGTGAACTCTTGCTTCACTCACAAGGACGTGTGATGGTTAGCACTACTCAAGTCTGAGGTTTCTCCTGCACATTTATGGTGCTGAGAGTTGTGCTGGTCAGACACACACACACACACACACACACACACACACACACACTAGTGCATTGATACCAACACACTCTGTGAGGGTTGTGAGAGGTGGTGGAGTAGCTTCCAGTTAAGAATTATGGAGGCCACTGTGCTCTTGGGAACTTTCAATGCAGCAGATCTTGTCTCTAAACTCTGCAGACTAATCCTTCAACCTCATGAGTAGGTTTTGTCAGCTGTGAGACCTTAAATAGACAGAAGTGACACACTATTGCACTGGGTGACATGTTTCTTCATTACCATGAACACACACGCTGTAGTTTATTTTGAATGAATCATACAGCGTCCTGCTGACCCAAACACTCAATAGAGCACCAAATGTGTATTAATCCTTAAACCTGTATTAGTCCCCAACAAAGTTGTATTTGCTCCTGTTTGAGTCACATTTTTGGGGAAGAAAAAACACAGTGACCAGCTGTTTAGTAAATTACTGAGCCTATAAAAATATATCTTTGTGACCTGTTGTGGTGTACAGTTGGCCAAATTAAAATGTGTATTCTTAAAGTCTGTATTATGTGTGCTGTAGTTGAAAAAAAATTGTTTTAAGTTGTCCCATTGCCTTGGTACCAAAACGCTTGTTTCCAGTTGTTGTTATCATAAATCTACATTATTAAAAGATGAAACATATGAGATTTGAGGGTGTATTTGTTCCTGGAAGAGGACGGAGGTGCTGACTGTGAGTGGACAGGTGGAGCTCATCTATCTCCAACAGGGAGCCTCAGGAGTCTCTAATTGTTCCAGTGGGAAGCACCTTCCACACTGAGTCTTCAAGTGGATCTTCAAGTGGACTAGGGATCTATTTTCAGCACAGTGTAAAGTTACAGTATGTCAAGTATCCACAGAGTAATCACAATCAGTAATTATCCCTGAAGTGCAGCAGCGGCCTTTAGGTCAGGTTTTTAGCTGCGCTAGCGGCCTTTTGGTCGTTCATTTTGTTCCAGACTGAAATATCCCAACAACTACTGGATGGGTGGCCATGAAATCTGGTACAGACCTTCATGGTTCCCAGTAGATTAAGTTTAGTGACTTTGGTGATCCCCTGACTTTTCATCCAGCACCACCTGCAGGTCAAACACTTTCAGTTATCCCAGTTGTCCCAGTCAGGATGAAATGTGGTAACTTTTATAATCTCTTAACTTTTCATCTAGCACCACCATCTGGTCAGATTGTAATTTGTCCAATAATTTGTTCATGACTAAACACATTCCATCACACACAAAGCTACATGTTGGGATTTGTGCTAATTAACATATGCTAGTATTCGCTTTGACACACTAAACTACTGTGGTGAACATGGGAAACATTATATGTGCCAAACATGAGCTTGTTAGCATTGCCAGTGAACATGTTAGCATTTAGCTCCTCTGTGCTAAAGAGCCTCACAGCACAGCAAGAGACTCCTTAATTTATGAGAAGACGTAAACAAAATAATGATAACAACAACACAATAATAATAATCATAATTATAATCTTAATCATGGGAAGTAAATAGTGCTCCTATCTTTTTATTGTGAAAGTGTGCTTGCCCATTTTTGCATCATAGTATGAAACCAGTAACTGTCAAATGGAGTAGAATAAAAAGTACAATATTCATATCAGTTATACCTACTGTATGTAGTCAGATCTGTCCTGTTGGTTCTGTTCCCTGTTCAGAATTACATTAGTGTTGCATCAAATCCTCCAGATGTTCCAAACTCTTCTGAAGCTGATTGCATCACTCCAGTGATTTTTCTCTATTTCTCATAGAAATATGTGTGATGATGGAGTCTTCAATAGTCTTCCAGCTGTAACTCATTGTCTGGCGATAAAAGCACAATTTATTTCCGTCCCAGCACAACAGCAGAAAAGGACACCTCCTCTCTCGATAGCTAATAATACTAATGAGCCATCTGACCAACAGCCACCCACCCCTGATTGAATACTATAAACAATCCCCCGCACTGTGGTATTTTTGGTTAAACTGTTTTAAGCCACCATCTCTTAAGGTTTCACATTCAAAGTCCATACTTTAAAAGGTCAAGATCATGGTCAGCATGCATTAAAACACATGTAAAGATAGGACAAAATGACATGTAACATAATGTAAAACACGTAATGTAAAAGTAAAAACATAAGTTTAGTAGTTCACAATATTCATAGTAATGCATTTTGCCAATTTTAAAACTGCAATATCAATTAGTCTCCATTGAACAGTGGCTCTTTCAGCAAGATGATGGCTGAGAGAACAGGAGTTGTAATAAATAACAATATTTTCATCATCGATTTATCTGTAGATTATTTTCCCGGTTAATCAATCAATAGATTGGTCTATGAAATGCCAGAAAATAATAATAAGAAATGTCTGTACAATGACAGTTGCAGATCCAAAGGAACTGTCTGCTAATTGCTTTTTTTCCAACCAAAAGTCCAAAACCCAAATATATTCACAATAGCACATAATGTAAACAGAAAAGTAGCAAATCCTCACATCTAAGAAGCTGAACGTTCATTTTTGCTTCGTCAAAAGTTATTTGTATTAAAACACGAAAGGTAAACATCTCCTTGGTTGTTGTGGTTCCAGGAATTTATGAATTGTGTCGCATCTGTTCCCTCTGCAGGACGACCCATTCAAAGGCCAAGTCAGATGCAGCTGACCAGGCCGCCCACGCTTCCAACAGTGAGTCCAGCATCAGCCGACTGGTGGCCAAAGAGCTCTCCCCTTCCTTCTACCAGCCAGGTCAGTGGACTTCTCATCTGTGAGCAATACTGTCAAATGGATATTAACATGAAAAGCATAGCAACATTAGGACTCTTTGGAAAAGGATAATACAGAAATAGATATTATTTTCACCTGAAATTGGATGCCATAAATAACTTTTCCTGAATGACATGAATGCACCACAAGAGGCACACCACTAGCTTTATATGTTTGGAATCAATACAAATCGAACATACATCAATATTTTGATCAATCCGGAGCAGAGATAATATGACATTAACATTACAATTAAGTTACTTAACTGACTGAAGAAAGCAGCAAATATGAACTGATAACTGATGATGCAAAGTGGTGCAATGTAACTAAATACTGTCAAGTACTGTACTTAAGTACAATTTTGAGTTATTTTTACTTTACTTGAGTATTTCTGTATTCTTCTACTTTATAATTCTACTCTACTAAATCTGAGAGGGCAATTTTGATTATTGACTTTCAAGTACTTTTACTAGCGAAGTATATGTAGTAAAAAAATACCAGCTGCAACATTAAAGTGGCAAAAATCATCAATAATTATAATACAGTAATATCTATTATTCTGAAACTAGCCATTCTGCATGATTACTACTTTTATTTGCTGTAATTTAAGTATGTTTTGTTTCTAATGCTACATTTTTTAATTCAGGACTTTTACTTTTCTATTGGAGTATTTCTACAGGGTGGTATTGCTTTTACTCATAAGTAAAAGATCTTAGTACTTCTTCCACCACTAAACACGCATGACGTTTATAGTGTGCCCCTGTGCGTACCTCCAGCTTGAGAGCAGCAGATCTTTGGCTGCGGCTCATCACAGGGGTAGTCGCATAATGTCTAAAAAAAGAACATCTCATTGGGTCGAAGGGATCATATCAGTTTCATTGAGAGTCTGGCGACACTCACACTTACACGTTCAAACAAAAGCACACCAGCCATTTAGGAGCCTTTTTCTCTTGCTTTCTCCCTCAGCAGAGAGCTTTAAGGCATCAGACAGAAAGTCATCCACGTTTCTGAGTGGCTGCACAAATTGTCTCAGACTAATACTAAAAATGGACGAAGCCTGGCTGAGTCCTGCTGTGAAGCAGTCTCTCATGAAAGATAACACAGACATACATTGGCAGCGTGGGCACGACCTGGTTTATTTGTACTGGGGAAAGCAACCATTTAGCCTCACATTAAGGATAAATCTGGAGACATTAGTTTCCTATTTTCAACAAATTCCATGAAAAGATCAAAACGAACAATGGCTTGATCCATTAAAAAGTATTATTTGCATTCCCAAAGCCTGATTTATCTTATTCTTCTGTGCCCTAGAGCTCTAATGTTGTCCAAAAAAAACTATTAAAAACACTGTTCCTTCATTACCATGAACACACACACTGTAGTCAATTCTGACTCAATCCCGCACACAGCGTCTTGCTGCCAAAAAAGACTCGCTAGAGCACCAAATGTGGATTAATCCGCCACTGAAATAATTCCCCAAAACTGCATTATTTCCTCCTATTTGAGTAGTGTTTGCTAAAAATTACAGTTCCCAGTACGCTTTGGGAATAATTTAGCCTTTTTTTTTTAATTAAAGAATATGTTTGTGACCCTTTTCCAAAGATTTAAGTCTCCAGAAGGAAAAATCGTCCTGAGGCTGACAGCCGAAGACGAGCCGAGAAAGTGAATCACAAAATATGGAAAGATAGACTATAATGCTTGATTTGTTGAATAACATGAATTTTCAATAACGCCAGCCTTAATATTTCTTATTAGGAAGTTCACTTTTATTTATTTTTTTCTACTCATCTTATGATGAAGTGTTGTTCTTTCGTAGTTGTACTCCTTTTTCTCAAAGTGTGAGCAAAAAACAATAATCTTGTGAAAAATCTGCATTCAAGTTGAGAGTTAGCTACCTGTAACTCAAACAGCATCTGTGGTCACGGGAAATTAGTGTAGTTTGAGGACAGCAGGGGATTATTAAAAAGTCAGTTTTTAAAATGACTTCCATTAGCTAGTTCTCACTATAGTCAACTTAATTAGTTTTGCAGGAGGAGAGAGAAAGGAGAACTCCATGATAACTGTTGACTTGGAAACAACAGAAATATATTTTTATAGCGTAATGCAATCAATCATTTTGAACTTTTTTCATGTTTATAATATCGCATACTCTCCAGAAAACAGTGCTTAACATTGTTCTTAACATATTGAGACTCTATGATGAGAAAAACGCTGATGTACTGGTTGAACTGATCTCACACAGGTCCTGAGTATCTGAAGAAGAGAGTGTTGCTGGAGGTCCTTGAGGGAAGTGAGAACACAGAGACTGTCATGCACGAGCCGCTGTTAGCCGAAGAGGAGCCCCTGCCCACGCCACCCGAAAGCCCACTCATGAATGAACTGGACAGCCTCATGCCTGGCTCATCCCCAGCCCGCACCCCCTCCCCCAGCCCAGGCATCATCAACAAGGAAGACCCCAAACTCCTCAGTCCAGGAAGCTGGAATGAAGACAAAACCATTAAAGGTGGTGGCAGTAAGGGTAGCAGCAAATCCAACAGCAGGCCCAATAGTCGCCCCACTACCCCGTCTCCTGCCACCTCGGCTGCACCTGAGGTGGCAGGTTGCTCCTCTCGGACCCCCAGCCGCCAGAGCAGCAAGAACGAGCAGGGCTCTGACCTGGAGATAAAGCCGCTGCAGAAGTTTGACTCAGAGGTGGAAGGTCCAGATTTCACTCCAGCCCCTGCTGCCCCTGTAAGGAATAGCCTCATCTCATCAGATGAAGAAGAAGCACCACGCCCCACCTCCAAAGTGTCCTCCAAGGCTGTCACCCCCGAGCCTAAAACCAGCGAGGGCAAAACTGAAAGAGCTCCATCAGTCCACGAACGAGCACCGTCCGTCTCTGAGAACCAAGTGGAGTCCAGGGAGGTGAGCAGGTCGTCCAGCAAAGCAGAGACAAAGCCATTACCAAAACGGCAACCCAGCCCAGCTCCGTCCCCAAAACCTGCACCGAGTCTTGAACCTAAACCAGTACCAAAGCAAGTGGAATCCAAAGCCACTGTTGCCAAACCAACCCCGAAGGTAGAGCCCAAAGCAGAAGCCAGACTGAAGGCCGTGGTGTCGAACCCAAGTCATGAGGAGTCTTTGGAGCTGGAGGTAAGAGAGTAAACACGTTGACTCGTATTTGATTATTTTAAGGCATGTTATACAGCACGACTATATGGCTGGTAATGTCTGTCTGTCAGTCGGTCCACCACTTTGGTCCAGACTGAAATATGTCAACAACTATTCAAGTTTTCTACAGATGACTTGTTGCAAAAGTTTATCTCTCCTTATATGACATCAGAATCAGAATCAGAAACAGTTTTTTGCCAAGTACGTTACACATACAAGGAATTTGACGAGGTGAATGGTGCGTATACAGTAAACACAGTGCAGACATAAGACATAATTAAAAATAGAAAAATGTGAAAATTTACAATAAAATATGGTGAAAAAACAAACAAATAAGAGTATGTTAAAACAAGTATGTTATTAAAGTGTCACGTGTATATTAATAGAGAAAAGTTTTGCAAGGGTGTGTAACTGTAATAAATTGTCCTGTGGATGTAAGAGTCTGAGTCAGTGGGGGTCCAGGGCTTTATTGATGAGCCCAACAGCAGATGGGAAGAAACTGTTTTTGTGGCGTGAGGTCTTGGTCCTGATGGACCGCAGCCTCCTGCCAGATGGAAAGGACTCGAAGAGTTTGTGTCCAGGGTGAGAGGGGTCGGCTACAATCTTTCTTGCCCGCCTCAGGGTCCTGGAGGAGAACAAGTCGTGGAGGGACGGCAGATTGCAGCCAATCACTCTCTCAGAAGAGTGAATGATACGCTTTAGTCTGCCCTTATCGGTGGCAGTGACTGCAGCATACCAGATGGTGATGGACAACATGAACTTCTTGTTGTCTGTAAATCCCAGCTTTAGTCTTACAGGACTTTCATTTTTACAGTGTTGTCAATTATGGTCTCCATATGTGTTTGAGGGATACATTTAATTCAAGTAAATCACTTAAAACTACTGTACCAGCACAAATTGCTTAGACATTAACCTTTTGTGAAATTTGCTTATTTGCCTTCTAGCACAGAGTTAGATGAAAATTTCAATACCACTCTCGTGTTTGCCTGTTAGATGTGAAGCTAAAGATAGGAGATGGTTAGCTTAGCTTGGCTGTGCTTAGCATAAAGACTGAATGGGGAAACAGCTAGTCTGGCTCTGTCCAAAGGTAATATAATCCTTCTCCCAGCACCTTTAAAGCTCACAGACTAGATACAATGTGTTAATTAGTGAGATTGACAGAACCAGGCTAGCTTTCCCTGCTATTTCCAGTCTTAATGCTGAGCTAAGCTAACCGTCTTATTGCTGAAACTTCTTATTTAACACGCAGACAGGAGAGTGGTTTCAATCGTTTCATCTAATTCTCAGCATAATAATAAGCCTATCTCTCAAAATGTAGAACTATTCCTTTAAGTAGTCATTTTCCCAAAGCGAAACTGAATTCACTGATCTCGTTCCTCATATGCTCCTTTCTTTTAAAGGGCCCAAACACCATAATGATCTGCATGGTCATCCTGCTCAACATTGGCCTGGCCATTCTCTTTGTGCACATTTTGTCATGAGACATTGTCCACCACCTCAGGTAATAAATAAATATGATTCAAAACCTGCCTGGAAAATGATAATCAACAAATTCAAGTGAAAGACAAATTGTTTTTGCTGCATGCAGGTCACAAGCAGGCCGGCCGCCTCCTCAGTTAGGACCAGAGATCAACGATGAAGAAGCCTCATGCAGACTGCCGCAGCTCCTCTAAAGGTTTTTGCTGGTGTGACTGTGTGAGGCTCTGTGAAGCTCCTCTGATCCCAGAGGTTTGATGAAGGACTGAAGGACTGAAGGACTGTTTGTATGTTAAAGTCGGGGCTGGATGGTAGAACATGTCCTCAGTGCTTACGCTGGAGAAGCAAGAAGTCTCATTTCAACTTCGTCACTGTGTGTCACAAGTGTGTCAATTATTTTTTTTTGCAAAAAAAAAAGGCTTTTAACTCGATCTTTAATTGGCACACACTGGTTGATTAGACGATCTCAGTAGATAATTATAGTTTGTCACAAGATATGCTGGTATTATGAAGGAATGTTTGTGCAGACTGAATATTCTCTCCACTGTGCCTTTAACTTGGTTGATGAGACACAAATTCAACTGCAGTAGATGCGTGAAAGATTTCGGAGTTATAACTCCTGCTATCATTGTTTTAATTAGCAACAATGTCCAATGTGTGGTTAAAAAGCTGAAGAAGATTCATTAAGCAGGAATCTAAAATGCATCTCTAGAAAATACTTTATAATACTGTTGAAATATTTCAAATTGTAATCCATCGCTACTGTAAAGTCAGTTTATTGGTTTCATCTTGCTCTTCAGTCTCTTAAGACTAGAGTTACATTTCAGCTAATTGCATTTGAGACTGTGGTGTACTACACTGTGAAACCTTTTATTTTCACTGGGATTTACATGCATTTACAGTTATTCTGCTGCTTTGATTTGAGAGCTGATACACCAAATAGAGAAGGCAAATAAGAAGCTTATGAGTGTCACTGTACTGTATCTTCCTGTGGTGTTTCTCATGCAATGCAGTTTAGCACCCAGGTGGTTTTAAATGAGAGTTGTGTATGTTTTGCAACAGAGTGAGCAAGCAGAAAATTGAAGGCTGGGATTTATCTTGTTTAAATCAATCACTATGTTGTAGTAAGGTTTCTCCATCTCCAGATTAATATAAATACAAGAGTAGCAGCAGGAGGTGGGTTAGGATGTTTTCGCCTGTGAGCTTTTCATGGTTAAATGTATGTTTCAGTGGAGAAAAGTGTCCACTCTGTTCCACGCTGCATTATGTTTAGGGCCCGTTATGCTTCAGAGCCAAATAAGACTTCAACTTTTGTATGCATGAGGGCACTGTGTGTATGCGTCAGTGTTTTTGTATAGTTTTGAAGTGCACATCTTTTCAGCAAAATATTGTCAGAGGCAAATATGCAACCCTAAATGTATTTATTTCCCAAAAGGAGTCAGATAAACCTGTGACTGTGAGATGGAGAAAAAATGGTTCTTAACGCCATGTCTTACATTGAGAAGAGCACTCTCCAGAGGTGCTGTTTTATGTTTCTCCCTTGTTCTTTCAGCAGTGTAATATGTGGCTTTTTAAAAAGGTTTTTAAGCTGAAATTCTTTTTGCCTTTGTGTTTGCAGATGAACTCAGACCACTGGTTGTGCATTGTTTTCATGCAAAAAAAGGAAAATGTACAATGAGTTAATTTTGATAAATCTTGTGTTCGGAATACACTTTTACCCAATAGTTTATCCTTGATTTAAAAAAAAAAAGAAGCCAATTGTAAGATGACAATTGAAAGTGCAATAAAAATGTATTCACATAAGTCAGTGTATTGTAGAAGCCATTTTGTTTTGTCTGTTTTAGAGCATTTAATTCTAACAGTGCCTAATTTGATTTAATGCATTTGTAGCCAAACCTGGTCAAAATAAAACTTAAGCCAAATAAAAAAAAAACTATACACATTTTATTGCCTCTCTAAAATTTAACTTTACAAAACATCCAGATTTATTCCATGATATAGTGTCATTCATTGTCCAGTCTGGTAAAAAGAGAACTAAATGTATATATTTTTAACCACCACCTGTCTCCTTGCATGAGACAACACCCTATCCCTCCCTTGGGCCACAGTGAATACCACAGTATTAAAAAAAAAAAAAAAAAACGGACCGAGGTTCTCCTCATTTAAAGCACAAATCACACTTTCAATGAGTAAATGAGAGCCCTGTAAATAGTATACTGAAAACACTGGATGCTGTAAAATTAATTTAGTAGGTAAACTACCTGCAACAATTTGAAATTTTAGAGTAGTTTGCCAGTTCTGTTGAACACCACTGCCCCCAAGTGACAAACGTGTGCAAGATCTCTGTAGTCAAAACTATTTTAAATGAAAGTCAATATCGAATGTGTGTGTAACCCAGCTTAGATGCAAGTTAAATGTAACTTAAGAGTGTATTAAAAAGAGAGAAAACAATTAGTTCAGTCAATGAACAAACTTTATTTGCCACAGATCAATTAGAGGAATGCATGTCTGTTTAATACTCTTCTCCTTCTTCCTCATCGTCTCCAACACTGTCGGCTCCAACCTCCTCGTAATCCTTCTCCAGAGCTGCCATGTCCTCTCTGGCCTCAGAGAACTCTCCCTCCTCCATACCCTCTCCCACATACCAGTGCACAAAGGCACGCTTAGCGTACATCAGGTCAAACTTGTGGTCAAGCCGAGCCCAGGCCTCTGCAATAGCAGTGGTGTTGCTCAGCATGCACACGGCCCTCTGGACCTTGGCCAGGTCTCCACCAGGAACCACAGTGGGGGGCTGGTAGTTGATGCCAACCTTGAAACCAGTGGGGCACCAGTCCACAAACTGGATGGAGCGCTTGGTTTTGATGGTGGCAATGGCAGCATTCACATCTTTGGGCACCACATCACCACGATACAAAAGGCAACAAGCCATGTATTTGCCGTGGCGAGGGTCACATTTTACCAATTGATTGGCTGGTTCAAAGCAGGAGTTGGTGATTTCGGACACAGTTAACTGCTCATGGTAAGCTTTCTCAGCAGAGATGACGGGGGCATAGGTGGCCAGAGGGAAGTGGATACGGGGATATGGCACCAAGTTGGTCTGGAACTCTGTCAGATCAACGTTGAGGGCGCCATCAAAACGAAGGGAAGCAGTGATGGAGGACACAATCTGACTGATCAACCTGTTCAGGTTGGTGTAAGAGGGACGCTCGATATCGAGGTTCCTACGGCAGATATCGTAGATGGCCTCGTTATCTACCATGAAGGCACAGTCGGAGTGCTCCAGGGTGGTGTGGGTGGTCAGGATGGCGTTGTACGGCTCTACCACAGCGGTGGACACCTGGGGAGCTGGGTAGATGGAGAACTCCAGCTTGGACTTCTTGCCGTAGTCGACAGACAGACGCTCCATCAGCAGAGAGGTGAAACCAGAGCCGGTGCCACCTCCAAAGCTGTGGAAAACCAGGAAACCCTGAAGGCCGGTGCACTGGTCAGACTGAGGACAGAGAGGCAGAGACAGTGATTACATGAGATACAGTTATGTCTTTTAATTAAATATTTGAAATCAAAATGAGTCATGGATCCCTCCTGATATCATATTACCCACCAGTTTGCGGATCCTGTCCAGCACTATGTCGATGATCTCTTTGCCGATGGTGTAGTGTCCACGGGCGTAGTTGTTAGCAGCATCCTCCTTACCAGTGATCAGCTGTTCAGGGTGGAACAGCTGGCGGTAAATCCCACTGCGCACCTCATCTGAAGAGACAAAAATAATAAAATCAGTTACAGCTACTATTTACATTTTCCAAAATGAATGTTCAGCCAGAAGTGATGACACTTACCAATGACGGTGGGCTCCAGGTCAACAAAAACAGCTCTGGGGACGTGTTTTCCAGCTCCAGTCTCACTGAAGAAGGTGTTGAAAGAATCGTCTCCTCCTCCGATGGTCTTTCCACTGGGCATCTGTCCGTCCGGCTGGATGCCATGCTCCAGACAGTAAAGCTCCCAGCAGGCATTTCCAATTTGGACACCAGCTTGACCAACGTGGATGGAGATACACTCACGCTGTGGAAAGACGGGGATAAGAAAAAAAAAAATTAAAAAAAAATAAAATTAAAAAATTAAAAATTAAAAAAAAGTAAAGTAACTACAATCATTTTTTTAAAGGGCATGCCTGGCTGGTTCTTGTGCTAATTTTAACCAATTAGATACTTAAGGCTACTCATCACATGTCAAGGACTGCTCTCACATGAAGAGGGTAAAGCAGCTCTTCTGTAAAGAACCAGATACCAGGCTCTCATGACTACAGTAACCTGACACACAGACACTGGCCCTCTGAACAGAAAGACTTTTTCCGACATGAGTACTTAAAGAAAGAACATTTTCCCCATGATCAGTCTGTGGTGAACCTTGTCAAACACAGCTGTAGGTACAGATATTCATACAAAAGTAGTTCGGACATCTAAGGTAAAATATGAAAGTCTTTGAGTGAATAGATTTTGTCTGAAAAGCCTGTGGTCGCAGTTTAATAAAAGGCCTCTTCAAACTGGCCGTTAAAATGAGGAATGTTTCAGGCTGAACACACGATGACCTGCACTAACTGGGTCAACGTGCAGACATGAAAACCGGAAATAGGCGGAATTTTAATATGGGCTGTGCCCTCTCGAGTTACACCAAATGTACCAACATCACCGTTAAAATGACCGCTCTACACATTACATTTCAGTTACTTCTTTAAAATTGATGACGGCGGTTAAGGTAGGTTGGCACGTGATGAATGATACTTCCAGAGCGTGGAATTCGGTACAAATGAATACACGATAATACACGATACACAATACTTTCATACTCACCATGTTTTCGTGATTCTGTATAAAATTTGATTTAGAAGAGGACAAAGGCAACGTTAGCTCTCACAGCAAGGGCGTTATGTGTCCAGTGTGAGAAGCAACTGACGTTTTTTTATTCTAGGTGGGGCTATTTATACTCTCTTACCCGGCGGAAACATGCTGATGAATCCGATTGGTCAGGAGTGACATGGTCCCGTCTCCTATTGGTTAAATTGAACATTCATATGCGGCACAGGCTACGCAGTAAACTTGCACAATGGACTGCAGCCGCAGGAGCTGCAATGCCCTAGTATATGATTGGTTAACGTAGAACAGGAACGCCTACTGGCTTTCTTGCCCAGTAACTTCATTGTCTCCTTCCTGTCAATCAAATTGGTGGCATTAGATCCGTTTTACGCATGATTTAAGTCACTTTTGGTCTATTTCTTTAATCATTTTTTCCAGTATGTGTGACTTTGATTAAACAAGTGGGGCAAACTAAGCTAAATAAATGCTTAGTGTTACATTCAGATGGGTAATTTGTACCAACTCGATTTAAACAAAGCCGGCTAGCGTGCCTAGCTTAACAAGCTTCCAGCAATGAATCAACAGCTATTGATGCTAAAAATGTATTGGTCCTCACATAGCCTACATTAGATACCCATTGATAAGTCATACCATATGAATAAAGCTCATCCTGGTTTGTTGTCCGCTTTCATTTTGTGTGTCTTCCCGATGGAGAATGTACGTTTCATGGATGTACTGATGAACTATTTATAAGACCACAAATGAGACAGGTGTTAGCATTAGCTAGCTAGCGCACCCTGCGTTCTGCCTCCCCCCTCTGGATATTTCATTGGCGCTTCCATCTGCTCTCCTGCCGTAGGTACCACAACTAACAGATTATTCGTGGTAGTCAATTCTCACTGGGGAATTGTGGAAGAACAGCATCTTTAATCAACTCTCTCCATCGTACTGCACTCTATATAAGGACATAAGTCACACAATGGAGATCTACGAAGGAACTGTTCTAGTCTGCCTCAAATTCAACTCAAGAAGAAGAAGCTGTTTATTGTGAAATAGAAGGGAAAAAAAGTGGGCGTTCCCGTACCCCACGAGCCAATCAAAGCAGTCGGTGTTCGTCACCATAGACCATATATAACAAGTGGACGTAGTCATCGTGATGTCACTCATTCCTTTATGGACTGCTGTTATGAAGCCTCGAGTTCGGTGATATCGCCGTCGCCATCTTGAAATATGGACGTCGCCATCTTGGCTTTTCTGCATCCGACGAACGGAAGTTACTAATTTCCTACTAATTCACCGTCCAGTCTCACATTCTGCATTAACATATCTAACAAACCTTGAGACTCAACTATTTACGGATGAGGATCAAGCCATCACCTTGGTTTAGGGTCTCAATACTCTTAAAGGGTACCTAATGACCTTTACTAAAGAAATTACCATATTTAGAATACGTGTTAGTGACTTGTGACTTTGGATACGGCTCTGGTAGCAGCAGCGACCTGTCAGTCACAGTAAGCCCGCCCTAAAAACATACTCCGCTTTATAGTCTATTTTACTCCAAATGTGACCATAATTCGCTCAATGAACATGTTTCATTGGAGACTTGAAACTAGCGACTGAGACGACAAACTCATGTTTTAATGGTTTACCAAGGTAATAAAGTGAGAAGTGGGGACATTCTCAGACTTCCATACAGAATTATGTTTGCTTCCAGAAGAGTCGCCCCCTGCTGATCAGTAGGGAGAATTTAAGTTTTAAGACACTTCCGCATCAGCTTCACGGGGCAAGACCGGAGGTTGCCTTCTGTGTAATACACGCAGCAATCATACGCTATTGGGAAAATTAGGTAATCAGGCGTGTACATTTTGGACCAGAAGTGAAAATTGCTCTTTTTGGTTTTGCCATTTATGCATCAGTATCTTGACAGTCTACTAAATATAGGTATTTCAGAGTCTCGGTTTCTTGTGTTGATTAAAAGTTATTTGTCCATTTTATCCAACAGTGGTGGAAAAACTACTCAGCAGGGGTGAAGAGTAACCAAGTACATATACTGAAGTACTGTACTTAAGTATGGAGGACTAAAGCCAGCATCATAATAGGTCAATAAAGAAATGAAATAAGAAAAGTCAAGAAATAAATGTGCAGGTTAATTTGATGGAAATTGTTTTTGATTGAGAAGAACAGGTTAGATAATTTGACCATTAGTCTTTTCTCTGTATAAAGACTGGCTACAGCAGAATCTTGGGACTGGCTTGAGACTTTCACTAAATGACTTGAGTCACATGTCTGGAGCAGAGAAACTGTTCCCCTAAAACTGTACAAACCAGTTTGAGACTGCCCAATATGGCATCATGCATTTAGCAATAGTGACAACTACAGACACAGAAAAACAATCTGCTCTGCTCCATTAAAACTGTCCGACAGTACTTCTGCCCTTTGGAATGTGTATTAAAAGACAACAAAGGTGGTCAATAAATGAACTTTATTTTTGAAGTTATTGAAAACACTTTAGTTTAATACTCCTCTACATCATCCTCATCCCTCACACTGTCGGCTCCAACCTCCTCGTAATCCTTCTCCAGAGCTGCCATGTCCTCTCTGGCCTCAGAGAACTCTCCCTCCTCCATACCCTCACCCACATACCAGTGAACAAAGGCACGCTTAGCGTACATCAGGTCAAACTTGTGGTCAAGCCGAGCCCAGGCCTCTGCAATAGCAGTGGTGTTGCTCAGCATGCACACGGCCCTCTGGACCTTGGCCAGGTCTCCACCAGGAACTGCAGTGGGGGGCTGGTAGTTGATGCCAACCTTGAAACCAGTGGGGCACCAGTCCACAAACTGGATGGAGCGCTTGGTTTTGATGGTGGCAATGGCAGCATTCACATCTTTGGGAACCACATCACCACGATACAAAAGGCAACAAGCCATGTATTTACCGTGGCGAGGGTCGCATTTCACAAATTGATTGGCTGGTTCAAAGCAGGCGTTGGTGATTTCGGACACAGTTAACTGCTCATGGTAAGCCTTCTCAGCAGAGATGACGGGGGCATAGGTGGCCAGAGGGAAGTGGATACGGGGATATGGCACCAAGTTGGTCTGGAACTCGGTCAGATCAACGTTGAGGGCGCCGTCGAAACGAAGGGAAGCAGTGATGGAGGACACAATCTGACTGATCAACCTGTTGAGGTTGGTGTAAGAGGGACGCTCGATATCGAGGTTTCTTTGGCAGATATCGTAGATGGCCTCGTTATCTACCATGAAGGCACAGTCGGAATGATCCAGGGTGGTGTGGGTGGTCAGGATGGCGTTGTACGGCTCTACCACAGCGGTGGACACCTGGGGAGCTGGGTAGACTGAGAACTCCAGCTTGGACTTCTTGCCGTAGTCGACAGACAGACGCTCCATCAGCAGAGAGGTGAAACCAGAGCCGGTGCCACCTCCGAAGCTGTGGAAAACCAGGAAACCCTGAAGGCCGGTGCACTGGTCAGACTGAAGAAAGAGGGAGAACCAGAGATTAGGGCTGGCGATACGGCCAAAATCTTCTATACCAATATAGATAATTTCATATCTCGATAATGGTATAGCATAGCAGGTAATTAAACATAAATAGTTCTATGGTAAAGCTTACTTTTGTATATGCCTTTGTGAAATAAATACTCATTTTATTAGGGAACTTGGTGCAAAATTAACACAACAATTTCAAGTGAATTTTATCAAAACCAAAGAGGGTTTTAGAACTTTTCATGCAACCATCAAGTGACAGCAGAGTTTCTCTGTAGCCACTAAACATCCATACAGTGACCGGTAGTGTTTCACTGCCATCAATACCAAACTACAACTTTTGATTATCATGATGATTACTTAGTAAACACTACTTCCCCCCCTGCCTCAAGGGATGTCTCGACATGAAGATATAGTTCATTACAATTTGTCCAAGTTTTGAGATCTTGTCTGAGGATTTTGCAATTACGAAAAGGAGGTAAAATTTATATTTTGCTGCGTTGCTCACAGTATTTTTACAATAGCAAGGTGATTTCTAGAAGAAGAAAAAAAATCTGCACCATGTTTTATATTCCAGAGTAACAGGGCCATTTCTGTCTTGAAACTGGGCCCCTATTTTTATGCTGCAAGCACCAGTAATTAAATTACATTTATACAAACAATATTGGTCTGGAGACAGACATCTGAGCGATCTAAAAACCTGGACAAATTACAGCAAAATATCCTGCATGCCTAGATACTAGTAGAGGCAAGTCAGCTAGTTTGTTGTAACCTGGATGAAATGACCCCTTAAATTCACCATTAGAATCTTAGTTATGGGTATTAATTGTCAATAATGCAACGCTATCCTTTCCTGATCATCCATCCATTTTCCTCCGCTTATCTGGGGTCGGGTCGCGGTGGCAGCAGGCTGACCCAGACTTCCCTCTCCCCCACAACGTTTTCCAGCTCATACTGGGGGATCCCGAGGCGTTCCCAGGCCAGTTGGGAGATATATAATCCCTCCAGCGTGTTCTGGGTCTTCCCCGGGGTCTCCTCCCAGTTGGACTTGCCTGGAAAACCTCCAGTGGGAGGCATCCTGATCACTTCTTTAGAATTATACATCGTTTCAGGCTTTCAGCCATATCAGAAAGGCTTTGAATTTACCCACCAGTTTGCGAATCCTGTCCAGCACCTGTTCAATGACCTCTTTGCCGATGGTGTAGTGTCCACGGGCATAGTTGTTGGCAGCATCCTCCTTGCCAGTGATCAGCTGCTCAGGGTGGAACAGCTGGCGGTAAATCCCACTGCGCACCTCATCTGAAGAGACAGTTTGAATCAGAAATCACTGGAGGGTTTGACTTCATGAAATAATATATAGTGAGATATGGCATCTATATTAATGAGTGTTTACCGATGACGGTGGGCTCCAGGTCAACAAAAACCGCTCTGGGGACGTGCTTTCCGGCTCCAGTCTCACTGAAGAAGGTGTTGAAGGAATTGTCTCCTCCTCCTGTGGACTTGACACTGGGCATCTGTCCGTCCGGCTGGATCCCATGTTCCAGGCAGTAAAGCTCCCAGCAGGCATTGCCAATTTGGACACCGGCTTGACCAACGTGCACCGAGATACACTCACGCTGGAGGACAAGAATATGTAACATTTACCATTAAATATGTCCACATCTATAACCATGTCTAGATACTTCAGATCAACACATGTTGAACAAAGCTAAAAAGAAAGAAAAAACGACCTTTTGTAAGAAACCAAACACCATGACCTAGTAACGCAACATTAATTAAATCCGTTAATTAAGACAAATAGCTGATGACAAATTATCATCTTGACAATACATATAATATAAAACAGGGTTGCACCGGTTCGTCGGCCAAATATCTACGGCAATATTTATCTGTTGTGGTTTTCATACATTTAGCACCGGCTACGTTCACACCAAACGCGGCGCGCGTAGATTACATAAAAAGTATATGCGCAGACGCGATGAGACTGCGGTGACGCGAATTTGCGGTGGCGCAGCGCGATTGACGAATCGCCAAAACTGCAAACGCGTGAGTTTAAATTTTTCAACTTCGGAGAAAAAAAAAAAAAAAATGGCGTGACGCTGCGGCGCGATAGCCTATCAGCGTTGAGATGTTTCTCCTGTCATCACTGACGTCGTTGAATCAGGAAACAAATACTGTATCCGATACCTCATATCAATAGAGACCGGACCAAACTATGTATATAAATGTGTGTACACCATATGGTACAAACAATGAATAGACGCTGTCGTATTTACGTCTATATGACGTTATTCTGAGTGTTGAAGGAGCTGCTACAGTGTTAGCTTAGCACCGATCGATCCGAGCTCCATTGAGAAAACAAGTATTTTAAAAGTGATTTGCTTGTCTTGCGGAGAGAACTAACAAAACATGAATTCAGACTTTACCAAGCGGCGTCATTACGTGGTTATTTCGGCATCCATTTTTGTCAGTTTATTGCAGTTAAATCACAGCAAAATCTGTTTATTTTGAGTTCATACAGCTGTAGTGAACCAGCAGACGTGTGGCTTGCTAGACACAGTGAATACAGCTCGATAAAATCCACGGAGCTCATCTGGACTATGTGATGAACCCAGACACGACGGCGTTTAGTTTCCCGTGATATCTGGGAATTCCACAACACGTACTAAGCAGAAATATAGGTTCTTTTTTCCATAGTTGATGGCGGACAGTTGAACAACTTCCAGGGCGATACGCCACGCCCCCTCTCTGGAGCATCCAGCGCGATTCACGCAAATGAACACAAATGGTCCCCGGCGAGACCGGCGACGCGATTAACTCGCGCCGCGTTTGAGGTTCTTTGTTCTCGGTTTCGTGCAACAGTAACTACAAAAGAAGCCGCTGGCTGGACTGACTCTGGCGTGACGACAGGTGGCGCGCGACCCATGCACGTCCGGTTTGTTTACAAACAAAAAGAGAAGGAATAAGTCGACCACGTGGAGAATCGTCTATAAAAAAATATAAGCGACGAGAACATTGCTACGTTCCACGGTCCTCACAAACCAGACTCCATTAAAAGGAAATGTTAGCTAAAGCTGAACGTTCGGTAAGGAGCGTTAGCTAATGCTGATAAATAGCTTAAATTGAAAATTAATTGACAAAATTAATTGGCTGTGAGCCTGGTTAAATCATAAGAAAACGTCACATTGCTCCACTCACCATGTTTCCCGACGCTGTGTCTAAAGAGGTTGAAATAAGAAAGAAGAGGACGATAAACACTCACAGCTGCGTTTCAAGGAGTGCTAAGCGAGATGCTGTCTCGTGCGTTTGCCCGGGTGAGGCACTTTATACTTCTCTTCCGGGAACGTAAATACTAGTTGAATCCGATTGGTCGAGAGTCACAAGAGGTTATTTTCTATTGGTTAAACGAAACCACTCGCCCCCTTCATGGGTGTTTTCGATAGGTCAGCCATGACAGCTGTTTTTCCAAAACTTTATTCTGTCTCAACATTATAAAAACAAAAAGGCAGCTCAACATAACAGAGAACTACGAATAGCAAAAAAAACATGATGATGGAAAAAAATATGAGAGATAAATAAACAGTCATCCTGCATATTTTGTTTCCAATTTGAATACAATAAAAGTAAATTACATGATACTGTCAAAGAATGTTAACATTTAGATATTTTACTAAAGAGAAGTAACAATACCACAATGTATAAATACAAGTACTGATTAAATATGTTACTGATGTAAATGTACAAAAGTATTAGCATTAAAATATACTCAAAGTAATATCCCTCATTATGCAGAATGGCCCATTTCAGAATAGTATAGATTATATTATTGGATTATAATTATTGATGCATTCATGTGTTCATCACTCTATATGTATCAGCTGATAAAGGTGGAGCTAACTTTAGTTTAACCATAATCTATGAATTATTCAGTCATTCTGTTTATTTTGTTGTCATACAATTAAAACAATTGTAATGTAATGTAAAAGTTATTTACACTGTGCTATAAAATAAGATGACCATTTAGATATTTTACTTTAGTAAAATTACAAAAGTATTAGCATTAAAATACACTTAAAGTACCAAAAGTAATAGTACATATTACGCAGAATGACTCATTTTAGAATAAAATATATTTGATTGGAATGTGTGATGCACTAATTTGTTCATGTTGCAACTGGTTCTTATTAATTGTTTTCTGTATAAATAGGCCTCCAATATTGAAGCACATGATGAAAAGAAAGTTTGACTGGTTGTATTGGAAATTACAACTTATTTTAACAGAATATCAATGTCTCAAAGCCTATAATAACAAATTTAAACCTTTGTTCAGAGAGTATACAATATTTTAATAACACACAATAACACAATTATTGATTTAAGAGCATTCAAGCCAACCTTTCCAGTAGCTATTTAACCCAGACAGATACCAGAGTTTACAATGCTGAAAAGACATATCAGAAATATCCGAATTATCATTGTGATGTCTTTTTGCAGACTATTCCACGTGGCTGAAGGAGGAAACATTAGGTCTTTTACATCACTCTCAGACGGACTGTATATTTTGTGCATCCACATCCAGCTACTTTGACAGGGTAGGCTACCTTCTGGTTCCAGAACATCTCAGGTTAAATTTAAACCTATAATTTGGCCATTAGAATCTATAGCCACCTGTACCAAATCAATAAGACGTCTTCAAAGTCCACATATCTCGGTTTGGGTACCATTTGTTCTGGTTATGGATGTTACTGCGGCAGAAGGAGGAGGAGTTTTTTATTTCTGGCGCAGTTCACCAGTTCTCCTCAAGAGGCAGATCGAGTACATGAGTGTGGTGCATCTGCAGATCTGCATCAAACACCGCACCCCTCAGACGCAAACACTCCTCTGGCTTGTCTCGTTACATTGCATAATATCGACGAGCCATCATGGTAAGTAACATTTTAAGTAAAAATGTCATGTTCCATTTCCAAGGTTGTTGTTTACAGGGTCTTACAGAACGGGAGGAAAGGAGGTAGCTCATATGATATTGACGTCATCCTTTCTCCTCTTTATTATAGTGAATCGTGGCTGTATATAGCTTTATTGTCAATATGGCCGCTAATAGACAACTGAAAATATTGGTGAATCGCATTCGAAATGTAGTGTATTCCTGCACTGCAAGCTGACTCCTAATCCTCTCCCCACATACCTCTGTTGAATTAGCTTAATTAGCTTCATAATCAATCTTTTACTAGTTTGTAATCCTGATTTGAAGGCGCTTTTTTGTCGATTTTATATGATTATAATTTAGTACACCTTGTTCTAAGGATGTTCAATACATCCCACTGGCTCATCAAGACCGCACGCCTTCTTAAATATGACATATAGATACATTTAAAATATAAACACCTCTGTTCATTCTTCACTGTTAAGAAATATGAAAATATATGTGAGCCTTCTATTCGCAGTGGAGGATGTGAATGTGGCAGCACACTGCAATATGTCTGACCCAGATAATCCTCTCCCTACAGTAATTATGTATGCAATGGACCCAAACTTATGTGGCAGCAGAGAGCAGGAAAAAATAGATGTGTTCCTGTAAAATAAACGATAGACTGAACCTCTATACAGACATGCTATCACAGAATATGAGAACTGTAAAGGCCTTTCATGCAGGGTGAGAAGAACTAATTGAAACAGTTCATGATGCACTGCAGTTTTAGAGTTATTTTAAAATCTATTTGACAAAACAAATGTATACGTGTTTAGCTCTTCTATTTCAACAGCAGTTGTTAAATAAATACCTTATTTTTTCTGCTCCACAGCGTGAGTGTATCTCCATCCACGTTGGTCAGGCTGGTGTCCAGATTGGCAATGCCTGCTGGGAGCTTTACTGCCTGGAACATGGGATCCAGCCAGACGGACAGATGCCCAGTGACAAGACTGTCGGAGGAGGAGACGACTCCTTCAACACCTTCTTCAGTGAGACTGGAGCCGGAAAACACGTCCCCAGAGCTGTTTTTGTCGACCTGGAGCCCACCGTCATCGGTAAGTGTCATCACTTATGGCTGAACTGAACATTAATTTAATAAATTATGTGTGTTATAAGACATAAAAGATTCAATGTCTATTTTTGTCTCTTCAGATGAGGTGCGCAGTGGGACTTACCGCCAGCTGTTCCACCCTGAGCAGCTGATCACTGGTAAGGAGGATGCTGCCAACAATTATGCCCGTGGACACTACACCATCGGCAAAGAGATCATCGACATAGTGCT